AACGGCAAATCATTGCACACGTGCGCCACCTCGCGGAGTGCGCCATTAACAAGTTGCAGCGCAGTTGTCCGCGCGCGTCTATAATTTTGTATCAACATAAATATAAAATTAATCGACGATATCTTAATGCATTACGATTGTTCGAGGCTTAATATATTTTTACTTTTAAAATTATGAAATTTCTGTTATAACAATTCGTCCGTTCACATTTCGCGAAAACACGTCACAATACGGCGCAGCGTCCAGTAGGAAAATGCGTGCGAGTCGAATGAACCGAGCATGTGGAGCAATACCATTGGCTGGACAGTGTTCGTGAAGTATGACGCATTCGGCTATTTTCGGTCTTCTGCTAGTCTATTTCCTTGGCGCGTATTTTAAGACATTCAAAGGACATCACTATATTGTCGTTATATAACTATTAGTTTTATAATTTCATTTTGGCTACTTTGATCGACTTTTCATGCTGATTGAACAATTCAATCACAAATAGTGGATAATCAAATCGATTGATGATCATTTACTGGTTTCGTTATGTAATAAAACAACCAAATGTTTCAAATTGCAATGAAAATTTTAAAGCTCGTTACGTAACGAAGAAGAATTCGAATATAGACTTTTTTTAATTTTATATTTAAATTTTTCTTGTATGTATTACAAATAAATATTTATATCTTTCGTCATTTACTCTTTTCTTTTTTTTTTTTTTTTTTTTTTAATAAATGAAATACGTAATATGATATATTAATATCAAAGCGTTTAATATGCAGCAACTACGCGTGTATCTAAAATTGAATTTATAACTTTTCACTGTTGCAATAACCGTAATTCATCGCTCCATAGCAATGTTAGTCGTTAAACTGAATTGAGCGCATCGAATCATTCTAAACATCATAAACCAACATGCATAACGCAAGAAATTATAACAGGTATCATTTTATTTCTAAATAAATACAAAAATGAAAAGAACATCTTTATTAACCAATTTTTAACAATTTTAATCCAAAATTTTTTAATCAACGATTTTATTCCAAGTTCCTGACATATTTATATACCTGTACATTTCACGAAGAGAACCAAGAAAATAGAAACAAACATGAAATAAAAGTATATAAAAAAAGAAAAAAATTATCAAGAAACGAATCCATATATTCATTTATAAAATATAATTAAAAAAATGACTCATTAATATCAAATTATCCTATACACGAAACTGATATCGATAGTAAATTTCCCAAAGTCATTGGATCGTCACATGTTCAAGGTCAACGACTTAAAACCCGAATGGAGTGCAAAGGTTGGAATTGCAGCCAACGTAGCAAATGTAGAAGCCAAGGTTCGCGCTAAACTTAAGCGTGAATGGAAGAGTAGCGGGGGAGTCGATCGAGGTTACGGTCGTCGGAATCGGCGACTCCGTGTCTCCGAAACCAGATTTGTAAATATATACACTCATTCGAGCAAATATCCCATAATCTTAATTAAAAAAAAAAAAAAAATTTTGAAAGCTCAACTTCGTCTCTCTTTCTGTTAAAAAATGAAAAAATATTCAAATACACAGAAATATTCGAAAAATCCTGCTAACTAACCCCCTTTCGACGTTAATACGCGTGACTATCTCGTGGCAATGAGGAACCTGAACGAATATCGATCATAATTGAAAGTCGCGGATAAAAACTTCGAAGAAAATCGCGCGCCAGAATGAACAGACAAGGTAGAAACGATTAAGGCTGGTCAATTGGTTGCATGGAACTGGCGAAACACTTGGGAACGACAGACCGGGCGACCAGCTCGTTCGAACGCCCGGGACGCGACTAGCCGGCCAAATCGCGCGTGCCCCAGCGGACCATTTTAGCACGTCTCTGACGACGACTTCCTAATTATTTTGGCAGAGATGGCCACCAGCCACACTCTTTGCCAATGTTCATCACTATCTCTACTCCTATCTTTATTCCACTAATTAGAAGATAGTTAATTTTGTTCGATAATTGTGGTTTAGAGAAGAGAATATTCTGACTTTTTTGAATCGTGTAATTTTAATAAATTTGGGAAATATTTAATGATAAAAATGAAGTTTCTTAATTAGTTTCGTTTGCTTTTGCAGTGGTTAAAAGAAGCTTGTACAAGGATGGAGAATGAAACATTTGAATAAAAATTAGTCTAAATGTTGATGATCGTTAGGTAATAGATTGGCGATGATATAATATTCGGGATGGTTGGCGGCGTGGCGGAACAGTTTCTATTTGAAGATGAGATGCAATGGTGGATGTGCTATAAAGATAGGAAATGCAGTACGTTTGTTGGCAAACAAGTAGAGGTCGTGTTTGTATGTAACGTGAGGTTCACATCGACACGTCCAATGAGGCAATATACATTGTGTTAGTTTGGCTGGCTACTTAGACTACATGGATACACTTTGAAGTAACCAATATTTGCTGGACGTTGATTCAATATATATCACTAAATACTTTTGACAACGTGAAATTGATCATAGATCGTGACGTACGATCTTTCATAATTTTCGATATCTTCACGTGCACAGAAAATGTTACTAAATTTATCCTTCTTATACGATATATAATCCACGATTACTAACTTATTAAATTTCCTATACGAATCTAAATTTTCGTATCGTAATTACATACGATTTCATCTAATTGTACACAATTTGGTAATTACTTCAAGTTCCTTAAATTTCCAATTTCATCGAAGATCTCTCCAATTTTTATTACTCATCGATCACTGTACACCGAACAAAAGTTGTTGAGATTCGATCAACACACTAGGCTATTCTCTTTCAAGAATCAGACCTTAGATCTCTCCATTGATCTGTCCATCAAAAAGATCCACAATAAAACGTTTCACGGTTTTCGATTTCGGCTAGTCCTTTTTAGCTTTATCGGTCACACAACACTTTCTACAGCTCCCATTAATCTCGTTTCACACTGTATGTATACATGTAGTTATCGTCGGTCACAAAAACACTATATTGGTATCAGAAACATCCTGTGTTCACCTGATGATGTTGCTCGCGCGGCAAGCAGAGACTTACCAATGCTTCTTCTCGATTATCCTTCTTCCTCTTCTTTCTTTACCGAATTCTTCTTCTCGTAATCGTATAAAACCGGACCAGCACCAGCGCGGACTGGGTCCTGCTTGCACTTTGCGATTCTACGATCGGCCACGCGCGAATGTGTGGCGGATCGAACAATAGAAAGGAAAAAAAAGAAACAGAAAACAATAAGTGTGTCACACTTCGTTAAACTTTAACGAGGCTTCTCTTCCTCTCTCTTTTTCTCTTTCTCTCTTGTTCCGTTAATACGACGATCCCGTGTTACCGCTACTCCTCCCTGAACATCGTAAAGTGAGAACGCGCGGTATCCACTCCTTCTCCGGTTTCCTCTTTACATGAAGGGTGTCGAGGACGAAAACAAACAAACATTCAAAGGGCAACGCCTGCGCTGCTCAACGAAACGAAGCGACGAACCTCGCCGAAATTCCTTTAAATAGTCCGTAGGCGTCGCTACCTGGCGGCGAGACATCGAACGAGGAAAAACTCTGGCCGGAAGCCAGTGGTCCCGGCGGTTGCTGCACAGCCTTCTCCCGGTCGTCGCTTGTCGCTGTAATTTTTTCCATTTAACCTTCGAATTTGACCACTAGACGCCTTAATTTCGGTAATTGATTCGCTATTACGAATAGTCGATTTTGAGGGAAATCACAGAGAACCGTGGTTTTTCCAGTGGATCTAACAGGACCAGGACATCATTGCCGCCATTTTGGATGTGCATTGAATCTTCTTTCGAGTATTTACTTCGTAGATTTTTGCACTTCGTATAATTATATGGATTTATATCTTGAGAAATGCGTAAAGAGCACCTGAATGAATGTATTTTGAAATGATGTATTAAATTATTTTGTAAAATAGCGAGAGAGGAAATAGTTCTTACTTGTTATGAGATACTAATGGTATTTATACTTCTTCTTTTAAGATGTATTCAAAATCGGGTTCGAGATATTTCTTTTTTTAAATATAATGTAAGAAGGAATTCAATGACCCCAAATAAAATAACGTCGAAGGAGCTCAAGATCTTATAGGCGGCAGGTTCTCAAGAGTAAGACGTTTCATTTAAAAATTAATGTTGAAGAATTCTGTGAAATAAAATTAACCTTAAATTCTCATTATTATCCTCGTTATTCCGCAGTGAATGATATTTCCAATTATTCTTTGCAATTGCATATTCTTATTTAAATAAAGAATCGATTAATTAAAAATAAATTTACATCCAAAACAATTTACCTAATTGATATCATTAATGGCACATACCTACACACACAAGATCGATTTGTTGAACAAACGATCACCCAGTTTTCCGACGCATACACAATGCTCTTATTGGAAACGTTCAAGGTACGCATTTTTCTTAAGATCGAAAATAGGTGGTTGGCTTATGTCCAAATGCGATATCAGCTAGAATCCACAAAGACAATCCATCGAATACGACGATGGGACCATTTGTTATTTGGCCAGTGATTAGTAACACTCAGGGGCCAATCAAGTGCCGAACATGGCGATAGATCGATCATCTTCCATAGCCGAGGGACGTTTCGATTGGCGAACCTTGTAGAAACTGCGACTGGTTATGTAATTATGGTCCAATACGCGGCTAACCTAAAAATAAGATCGTGCCATTTTAGTTTCCGTAATTGTTCCACACTAATTTCGCTCTCGAAACTCGTTGTCCCCAGTTTTACCAGCTATTCCAATCGGAAGTCGGTTGCCAACGTTCAATGTCCTTGTCGCTTTTTGCGAAATTTTCCATTCCCATTGTGTCATCGATTTTGTTTATCGATGTATCGTGAGACGTATACTCTGCAACATTTAGTCTTCAAGAACGGAATTACAAGTAGAATCAGCTGTCGATCAAAAGTTTAATTGAAATAAATTTTATTAATTTCTTGGCACTCGAGAAATGGAATAGAAGGAAATAGAAGATCTCAAGGAATAGAAGATCTTTGATTCGAGATTCTTCAACCATTCATTTCCATGCAACAGTGTTCACCAGTTTTACCAGGAATATTATTCATAAATAGAAACAGAAAAGAAGTATAAACTTCCCACGCGATGGCACTTCAAGCATAAAGGCTGATTCACATCAAGCCATTTGACTTCGAGATATTTAAACTGAAGTTGATTTTAAAATTGCAATCATTAAATTGCATTCTCAATAAATTAAATTGAAAAAAATTTCTATCGCAGTTTTATCTATTCTCTTAAAATTTACCAAGATTTGATTGTTAATCGGAATTGTTAAGGTAAGTTTGCATGTTGACTTGTCGAATATTCATTCATTTTTGAATTCAATTATAATTTGTGAACGAAACTTAAGAGCAGAAACCGAGCACACGTCTGAGAGCCGAAAGAAGAGAGAAGAAGGAAGAGAAGATCAACGGTCAATGTTCTGCTTCTCGTGCTATTCTAAATACATTTTAATATACGAGGTACAGTTATGTGCTCGATTCGCATTACTGTCCATCGTCCGTGAAAACTTGATACGTTAAATCTGTTTCATCCTCACTCCCGTCTTCGATCTCGCAAAAATAGTCGAAAATAAATATATTGAAGATCGATCATGGAAAAAATTTCTAGCAAACTTTTAATAAACTATTAAATAATGAAATATGTTTTTAACAGGAAACTCGATTCGAAGAAACACCGTTGATAGATGATAAATGTATCCTCGAGTGGAATGAAGAAAGATCGACCGCGAGGATGGTCAAGGATTTGAGGAAAAAGAAAATTTTGAAAGGTCAGAGCTTTTGAACTGATTCATGCCTTACCAAATTCATTGATAAAATGTGCGTGCCATCATAATAACATAATTAATTAATAAAAAGCTCGGGTACGTGGGTGCGCTATTACCCAAAGGACTCACGAATTCAGGATTAAATCCTAAAATCCGTCAGTCCCCCCTGCGGAAATAGTACATTGGATCGGAAGTTAAATGTTTCTGATTTTTAAATATGTTGATCATCAATGAAATTATTTGCTAATAAATCTTGTGAAAGACTTATAGTCGATGTATTTTCTCATTATGGCCGACAAAAATAGACATTATTATTTCGTCGCTTACACGAAGCCGCGGTTCAAAGCATGACGTTATTTTTAGTATTTAAAAGATAAAGTGTTACGTAAAAGTCGAACGGAATATCCACGTTTCGGGACATACTCGTACAAATCTTTTTTATCCTTTACATTTAATATTCGAAAATTTCGATTACTATAAATACACCAATTAAAAGTGAGAAATATCTCTCTCAAATTTTATCGGATATTCGAATTACAGAAGAAAAATTTCACAAAAAATACATCTTCTTTCATTATTTTTATACAATTATTATATTTTTATATAATATTTTTATACAATTAAAATATCATTAAATAAAAATGAGATATTCAAGATGATCAAGTTATTTCATACACTATATTATAACGGATGCATTAATTCGTTTCTCTATCAAAGGCAACTGAATAATCAAACACAATTTTCCACAAGAAATACAATCTAATCCCCAGCAGATCCAAAGTTTACGGTTTTAATGCCTTGATCGGACTCTGCCCCCTAACGAGCCTCTATTAAGTGGAACACGTGTTGCGGAAATTTTGATAGACCAACGTCTAACGTGAATTTCACCAGGCAAATCCTGAAAATAGAGTGTTGGAAGCGTGCTGATCCGCCTAGAGATCCGACGAATCCCATTTTATTTATGAACGTTTTTATAAATGACGTGCTAAACATCCACGATGACACTGGATGTCAGACATCGAATGATCCATAGGATTTGTCCCGGCGTGAATCTTTGAACGATAAGAAGAAACGATGATTATTTCTATTAGAGAGAATGTTGAAACGGTATCCGCAATAAAGCGTGGAGTGTATTTGACACGGTTTGAGACTGAAGAAAAACAAACGAATTGGCAGAACTTTAAATTCGAGTGAAAATTTGTACACGATTCTCATGATCCCTATTGTAGTTTATTCGAACGATATAATATATAAGATATCTTTGTTTGCACAATGGAATTTATTGTCATTTATACTATCAATGATCCATTGAACGTTTCGCAATGTGTTAATAGTATTCAAGAGAAGAATAGAATTTAATTATAGATATCAATAGTAAATGCGATACTTGTGATTATTTATATCTGGATACTTCAGTTAACTTGATAATTAATAATTTTGAATTTTAATCAATAGATTTTATTATTAACAATGAAAATCTTCCAATGCAATTACTACAAATTTTAAATCAAATTATTATTATTTTATTTTCCTAATAAAATATTTATCAATTAAAATTACCTCCAATCTCTATTGTATCTTCAAAATTCATAATTCCTCTCCAATATCTATACCGAATACTATCAAATCATCCTAATTATCATCAATTATATTTTTTTCTTAAAACAATAAATAAAAGAAAAATTCAATAAACATAAAAGAATGAAAATTGCCTGAATCATCAGGATACTCGGACATAGTAAGAATCATCTTATATTTCAAGGACTAGCTACAGATTCAAAGTTCAAGGTACAACCAACAAATCACGTCGAATCCAAGATACACAGCCCGAGAAGATTTATACAAGCGAGCCATCGGGGAGGATCAAAGTTGAGATTCGGGATGATAGATAGGGGTTACGGGGGGACAGAGCGCGAGATACGTCTATTCTGGATTCTGGCAACAATAATGCCCGCCAGGGACACCAAGTGGATCGGGCGTAACACACGCGTGCTCTTCGCAAACAACTAATGACGCGGCTTGTACAAAGGCCGCCTGTTCTAATTTCGTGTTATCCTGCGCCGGTTGACTAAAAATATGCGGCCAAAAAGCCTGGGTACGTTCACTTTTTAACGAGGAAGCGAAGAAATGGTTACAAGTTATGAGATAATTATTGGAAGCATAATATTGCTATATATTGTACAATAATCTAATTACCTGATATTTATTGTATTATCTATTTGAATTTGTTTTAAGTAATATTCAGAAATGAGATGTTACAGAGCATGAAATTTAACTTTTAAAAGCATAATTTTTGCAAAATAAGTTATATTAAATATTAAATATGTTATATTTGAAATATAGATATTCTTCTATTATCTAATATAATAGATATGTGCATTGTCTATTAGAATATATTTATTTTGGATAATATTGTTAGAGATATTCAATGGTGAGAAATTAATGAATGGAATCTAACTTTTGAAAGCAAAATGTTGCTATTTTGCAACACGAGCTTGTCTTATCTAATGTAGCAGACACTTGTCTATCCTTCTATTATTTAATTTAATGTAGAAGACTAAAATGTCTATTCGAATATATTTATTCCAGAAAATATTATAGAAATTGAGTTTTCATTTTTAGAAGCATGATGTTATAGTATAATATAATTTCTGTCGTTAATACTGTCATTCGTTTTTAGATCTATAAATGATTCTGAACTAATAATTTCCTATTCATTCTCAGACTCAACCACCAATTTCGAAAACGTGTAACACGTATATCTATCAACGTATTCATTCAACGACATCATCTTCAATGACGTTGAATCATAATAAAGAACCAACTTAACAACTATCAAAATCTATCTGACGTAAATCTAAATACTTCTTCAAATCCCATACTCGAAAGAAGAAAAGAAATAGAGAAAGAAAATCGTGGACGAATATCCAGATTAAAAGAGATGAATCGAAAAAATTTATTTTCTTTGAAAAAATAAATCACTAGCAGAAATTTTTCATGTATCTAAAATCCAGTTTAAAGATAAATTGAATTCTATTCTATATTTTAAAGATAAATCTAATTCTTTATCAAAATATTTCAGAACCTTAATAAGAAGTTAAGGAGATTGTAAATCAATCTACATATAATATTGGAACAAGTACAAAATCTAATTTTATAGTTAACCTTTAACTACTTTACCAGATCCCAGATAACCATTATCATAATTTCATTTTCAATACGTGACGCTACTATACTTTTCTCTATAATGTTATCTCATAATGTCTTATCTCATATAATGTTCTCGTTCTCTTATTTTTTTTTTGTTTAATGTCCTGATTCTAGGATTCTTTCCAAAGGATTTGCACATAACTTTCTTCAAAATTGAAAGAATAATCTTCTTCTTGAAATCTACAATCTTCCATTATAGCTTTCTCTCCAAATATTTTTCTGTTACTTGAATAAATACACATTTCAATCATACATATTCAAAAATCAAAGAACATGCATAAACTTTAAATACAACATTTTAAGTAAAGAAAATAATATAATCTCATTTCTAAAAACATTCATAACTTTCTTTTATAATTTTCCCTTAATATACAATATATGTAATAAACGCACGATGCAACGATACGCACGCATGCACTCGAAAAATCAACAACGGGTCTTTGGCTCGTATCGTTGCGTCACGCATTCTTTCCGACCGGAAGTCACCGAGCATCATCGCCGTCATCGCGTCTGTCAGTCATGACAACCACGAATCGAAGCTCGATCGGCTCGTGGCAACATTTAGGCGCGGTTCTTCCCCTCCTATCCCTCCCTACTCGTTTCATTTCAGGGTTAACACGGTGAAATATCGGTGCCGCTTATGTAAAATCTTGTACGAGTAACATTGAGAATCTAATAATATACACGGCAGTGAGGCCTGGCCCGAGGCGTAGAATCGGCGCTGCGTTCATTACCTGTCTTCGTGTGTACGAGACGAAAAAGTGAAGAGAGTGAATTTTCGAGCGCGGTGAGGATCATCATCACCGGTCCGCGTTAGAGGTGCTCACGACCTAAACTAAAAATACGTTACGGGGTCCGATCAACGGCCAACTGGGCCAGTGAAGTAATCGCAGCTCAACGTCCCAAATATAGTCCGACATCTGTACATATGGACGAGGAGTGCCGATAGTTGGCATCCACAACCAACGTACTACAAGATCGCTAAGAGTATAATAGCGGCTGTCACCACGATTCTTCTTTCGATGACGTCTATTGTCGTTGGAGTAGCGAAGGTAGCGACCATCTTCTTGCGTGGTTAATCTTGTTGTGACGTGACCAGGAACGTCTTCAGGGATTTCTGAAATCATTTCAATCATGTTATTCCTTATTTAAAGAATAGAATTTTAATTTGTAGATATAGAAATAAAGAAATATTATGATCTGTATTTTGAAGCGAATTGAATATTCTGAATTAGAGTATGATTTTTTTTTTTTTTTTTTTTAAGTGCTTGTCAATTGATTAATTTTTTGTGGAAATGAAGGTGAAAGATAATATTCGGTTTGATGATATTCGGTTTTAAGAGAGAATATATGTGAAGAATTTGGAAGATTTTCATACAAGTGTTGATTCGAATCTAATTTTGGTACGTCTAATTTGTATCCTTGAAATTCGAAAATTATCGTTCGAAGATGTCTCATACTTGTGTTTCTAAGCTACGTAATATTTTCTTTGGAGGCTGCATTATTTTCAGAAATATGAATCGACCGTTCATATTGTGACAATATTTTATTCTAAGTAAACCATGTAGGAACACAGCGTACATGGTTTATTTTCCTGAGGATATGTAACTTATAATTTATTGAAGCTATTTTTTTCATTGATATTAACAAAAATATCTCAAAAAACCTCAATACTTAATATTAAATGTAAATATTCATACAATTACTTAACCAATTGAACAATAATTCAACAATAAATCTAAATATCTAATTAGAATATTCTCCACATGTAGAAATACAAGTTTATCGATTTTTATCGATTTAATAATCTCTAATTAAATTGAATTCAAATTCAATGATTTTTCGAATCTAACATTTCAAATTTGTAGATTTTCTGATTTTAAATTTTCACAAAGTGCCTTAAAATTAAAACTTCTCCACTAAAGAGCCTGAAGTCAATTTTTCGTGGGATCTCGAGATACGAATCTTTGCCAGAAATTTAATTTTGCAATTTTCGTTAGTATCCTCGTGGACAGATCATTTGCCAGAAAAACTTACACTATCGTACGTTCGCTTTAATTCGATCCACGACGACACGTGCGTATACTTATAAATAAATGGCACGCGATTGTTTATACGTCGATACTGACTGACGACATCATGAAAGTGGTCGTGAATGTTTTGCATCAGATGTCTGGTTCTGAGTCGCGACATAGTATATACATATTAGAATCATTTTAGTTCTTCTCGAGAGAGATAGATCGAGCAAAAGATGCGATGAGAAAAGAGTTGGAAGTGTAGGGTTGACTTTCAAGGAAAATTCAATATAAATAACGCGAAGAATTTATGTACAGGGTGAATAAAATAATTTTATTAAATTTTATTTAAATATCTTACTTAATCTTCTAAGAATAGAAAGATATATTGAAATGGAAATTGGAATTTTGTAGTAGATAAATATAATTGATGTTAATAATTTCTTTTTATAGATAAACTTGTTGAAGTCATATAAAAAAATTGTTTTGTTAAGTGAAATTGGATAATGGTATATATCATATAAGCATTTATTTTATATTTGAAGTATTTCTTGATATTGTTGAAAAACAAGTTGTGAAATTATGAAGTTATTTTATTCACCCTATGTATGACCCTGTTCTGGGTTACCAGTCTGCTTTTTTTTTTGCTCTGACATAGAATAGTTTGAAGGACATTGATTTTCATGGTGTGATTAATTTAAGGAAAATAATGAGGAAGTCTTATTTTCATATGTTAAGAAAAATAATAATATAATACTTTTTAATTTTTAAAGAATATGAAAAAGAAATATTGGAAAATGGATGAAAAAAAGAATATAATGACAAAACATAAAGAGAAGCATATTAAAAGGATAGTAATAAAGATAGAATGAAAAAAAAATAAATAAAAAGATAATAATAAAATATACTTAAAAAAAAAAAAATAACCAAGAATATAGAAATACTTTTAAAACAAAAATTCTAAAAAAAAAAATAATTAAAAAATTATTAAATTTTTTATAAAATCTGATTTTTAAGTATATTTAGCAATTAATTTTTTTAAAATTTTGTACACCCACATATTTTTTACCAAATTTATTTTAAATCACGAAATTCATTCTTTTTCATCAAATTGCAAAAAAAAAAAGCAAACGAACAGACAGTTTATGACAATATGACGAATTCCACATGATTAACTACATATGAAGCAGGAAAAAAGCAAAACAAGAAAGAAAGAAGATACGAACTGAGCTAATGTAACTATTGTTGGCGAAGAGTCAGAGATTACGTTTAGAAGAACGATATTCGAATTCGTTTAAACAGAGATACTTACAGATTAAATCTAAACCTTCAACAAAATAATTTTTCATTAAATACGAAAATTATTCCTCCTTTCCTAACTTAATCGTTTAAAAATCCTGATATTACTTATATAAATCATATTTCTTTTAATACTAATTAATTAATTTTAAAAAAAAGAGAGAAGCAATACAAAAAAAAAGAAAAATAAAATTTTTCTTTTCAAAAAAGATTAAAAGAGAAAAGAAGGTGATCTCTGTCTTTCATTACACGTGCGACTCAATGAAAGCATAACTCTATTTTTATATCGAGTAAGAAATCTGTCTACGATCGAACACGTGGTCGCCTTGAATATCCTATCCTTAATCCTATCTATTATTTTCACTCTCTTATTAACTCCTTAAATAGTAATTTTTTTTTTTTTTTAAACGAAGTTCAATAAAGTATACAATTTTTGTATTCAATATCAATATCCTGCTCCCGTTTAACTTTTATAACGATTATCATATAATTTGAAAAGTTACTAATCACAAATTCTATTGTACTCTAAAAAAAAATATCGACAATTCTAAATATTTTTCCTTATTTCGATTCATATATGAAATCTTGAATAAAATCAAAAAATATTGATCCAACATTTCTAAGATAAGGCAAAGGTTTAAATTAAATTACAATTAAATTATTGAAAGATCAACATTCTTATCAATATATCATTCGTCTCAAAATAATATTATCGAGTAAAGTATACGCGAAATTTCGAACGTCGCAAAAATGAGGGCTGGCAACCGTTGGCGAGGATAGGGTGAGAGGGAGCTGCACAAGACGATCGGAGGACGAAATGGTAGCAGAAACGACAGGTATTGTCCGCGGTCCTAAATTATTCGACGTTCCGTGCCACTAGGTTGAACGGGAATGTTTGGCAGATTTCGAGCAACGGGGACGTGGAGGAAACGCAGAAAACTCTCATCTATCATGTCGGAACGTGTTACAAGCGAAAATAGTCGCAAGGATACGCCGAGGTCGGACTTGGCGAGAAACGTGGACGGGATGCCGGCGTCAAGGGTGCGAGCGGATTATCAAGCGTACGCACCAACTGCTGCGACACTGTCATCATCGTCACAGCATCGATAGCTTCACGGTGTTTCCCTGGAGAATATCATTTTTAAATTTAAAATTTAAAAGAGATGGAGATTTCAAACTTTGAAACATTTTTTTTTTTTTATTCGAGAATTTGAAAGTTGAGAAATTGAATATTTTAAAATTGTTGCAAATGTTGTGAGTAGTTATTTCGAAGAATATTGTTTTTAAATTTGAAATTTAGAAATTTAAAGCTTCTTCTTCTTCTTCTTCTTCTTTTTTTTTTTTTTACTTGAGTATTTGAATCTTCAGAAACTTAGAGGCGAAAAGCTTAATTTTAGAGTTTATACAAGGTAAAAACAAGTTGAAAATGTGACACAAAGTTCGCAAGAAGGTCATAGAATATCAGGTACACGTGCACTTAACTCCGATATAACTTGTCGAATGACACGTTAGTTAACTATGATGTGTTTATGTGCAAATTTTACGAGACATGTAAAATAATTACTGTTATTAATATAAACTATCAAGATGTTTTAAGTTTATCAGCAATTTTCTGGGAAGAATATTCATTTTAAAGTGTACCATATTATTAACCGACAAATATAATTTATTGCAATAATTTATTATAAAATAATTTTATTATTAAGAATTTGTTTCAATATTTTTTACTTTAATATGAGAAGAAAAAGGAAAAATATTATTTACATAAAATATTAAATTAAATTTTGTTTCCATTTCATTTTTACAATTTTTATTAGTTTCACAAAATGAGCTCTACAAATTGTATAATTTATTGAACTATTTTTATCAAGAAACAAACTATTTATAAAATATTATGAAAGTGTTTATAAATAGTTAACAATATTATAAATGCGGTATGAGACATTCATTGTAAATATCTGAGTGAATTCGAATATGTCAACGCGCAGTTTCTAATAAGCGTCATGAAATGGAACAACTGTTGTTGTAATTTGAAAAAAGATTAAATGAAACAAATTTCTAAATGAGAACTGTTTTAATATTCTTGTTACTTACCTTTACAGAAGTTACAATCTCATTTTACGTCATCCGTTATAATAGATATTGACATTAGGAACTGGACAGGTGTGTTCAGGAAAATGGTTTCATTTTTCAGAGAACGAATGGCACCAGAAGATGAATGAATTAAATTATTACAGCATTTAATATTCTGAAATAACAAAAAATTTTCTTTATTAAATATAAATTACATTATAATTAAAGCAGATAAAAATTATATTTAAAAATATTACGAGTTAGACAAGAATTAATAATTATAAAAATTTTGATCCATAAAAAAAATAAATAGATATAAGATATCCTTTTAAATAGGGACGTTCATTGACTATTCCAACGAAGCAAAAACCCATTTCAGCAAGACGAATGTGCTCAGGAGTATTTATAATTCCGTGCTTCTTGTAAAACGTTGGATTATTTTTGTGTGCTTTCAATGATCAGAGAAGACGTAACGTCTGCTATCCTAAGATATGTAACTTGCATGAAAATATTTAATATAATATATATTTTTAATAAAACAAAAATTAAAATTACTAATACAATGTAAAAATAAGATAAAACATAAATACATTAGAAAATTGTTTCATATTTCAAATGAAAAGTCTTATATTATTTATATTTAATTAGCATGTATAAATTGATAATTTAAGAAGAAATGTCATCTTAATAGATACTGACGTCTCGAAAGAAATCGTGATGTCACGATATATCCTTGAAAGAGACGCTATTATGGCCGGTCAAGCCTACGCTCTAGGCCAGGGGCTAGGCTAGGCTATTTCCGCTATTCAGCTTATGGACAAAAATAGTCCTAGAGAGCTTTCGAACGAAAAGCTGCTGGGACCTCTGGTGTCCCTCCGGAGAAAGATGATTTTTGTACTTCCGCCACTTCAAAGGTACCTCTTTAACTCTATTCTGTTATCCATTCCTTGTTACAATTATTTTAAAAGCAAAATTTTCTCTCATATTTCATCATTTTTTTTTTTTAATTTTCATATTACTGATCGATAAATGAAAACTTGGACACAATGAGAAAAAAGTTTGACACTTTTTAAATTTATTTTTATATTACCAATATCACAAAAAATTTTCATATTTCTAACTTCTTACTTTTGTATAAAAATTTTCATATTCTTATTAACTTTATATACTCCTCATTTTCTTTTTGTAATCTAAAATACATATAATCTAAATTAATTTGCATTATATTTTATAAAGTTTAGTATATAGAATTTGATAATAAAAAAAAATAATTTTCCTGTAATTCTCCAAAACTAACTAACAAGAATCTACATTATTCATATCAAAGAACAAAACGATTAAATTTTCATCACCTTATTTAACAATCTGTTCTCGTTTAAAAATTCTGATTTAATTATGCATAGTTACAAGGGACCGTTTACCATTATTTCGGTAATTGGCGCGAGCAATTAATCTCGACACACCCACGTAATCGCGTTACGTCGGCGCATGCGCGTGCTTTTTTCGAAAACGATTTTCTATTTTCCACTGTGGCGATGCGTGCGACAGGTGCTTGGCCGATGCCAAAGCGAAATCGCGCACAGCCTGGCCCACACCGTTGCTTCTTGATAGAACATTACGATTCTCGGGTGCACGGATTTCGAAACACGTGAGAGATCAGAACATGAGTATTTTCAATCGTCTCTTCTTTTTGCTGGCAGTACAACCCGACCAAGCTGCCTCTTGTCCTGGCCGGACCGATAGGTGAAGGCGATTGGATCGAGTCACCTCTCGTAGTATTTTTGGGTGGCCACGTGATATCATTTTTCAAGTTTTTTTGTACGGGGAATAAAGTAGTTCTCGTTACCAATCAATTTTTTTTCTTTTGAAACTTTATTCATTCATTAATTATTCTGTGAAATAAGAAAATAGGGAATTTTAATTTGGAAATACATATGGAAATGGTAGAAGATTCAGCAGAGATGATGGTTTATTTTAGGTGAGCATGACTGAATCTAAATATCTTAAGTTAAAGAATATTTATATGAAAAAAATTTCAAGATTTCAATGATCTGGAATAATTTATTGAAATATTTAATTGTTGTATAATTTCTCTTCTTTCAATCTTCACTTGAGAAAAGTGTGAAGATTGTATTTATCTTTATCTAGAAATATATGAACTAGAATATTCATATTATAATGTACTATCTGCAATATTAATGATAACCAATCAAACCAATCATCTTTCTTTATTCTTTATCTCTTTGAAAATATAATTTCAAAAAAAATAATGATTTGGAATAAAATAAAAAGATATTAAATATAATTTAAATAGTGACAAGATTAATTAATCTTGATTTCCAACAAATTTTAATAAAATAAATATGGCAATAAAAGAACTATAATAAAAGAAGATACATAAGATACAAAGATAATTAACAGCAATTACCAAGAGAATCCTAAAGAAATTATAGCTTCATATGGTTCGTGATATCGATGTTCAATAAGAAGAGAAAATAGTGAAGTTAACCTAGTTCCATAGACCTCGTTCCTGAGGCTCGCGACCTTTACATCTATCGTTGAATCCGGATCCAGAGAAACACAGAATGGGATCCACCTCAAGAGCTGCTCCACCTGCCACCGGATACCAGTGTGACCAGGCTGACCGTCCCGCAGTACGCCTACATAAATTGCTACTGCGTTATTTCGAGTGTTTTAGCCTTGGGTGCTGGCCAGAGAAAACTTTTGAAATATCGAGAAGCACTTGGTCTCTTCCTCGGCCATCAGGATTCTGTGATAAGTACAAAGTAGCACAAAGTGATCCGTGCGAGTAACTGCAACTAAAACGTGACGAGAAGAATATCATGCCTCTTCTCCTAGGATAGGAATTTGGAATCGTTATATTTGTTGAATCCATCAACGGTGACATGATTAATAAAGGAATATTTTCTTGAAGATTTTACAATGTTTATCATATTTTTAACAATTGTTCACAATGAAAAATATTATTTGAATCGTTTTTTAACGTGACTGTCCTAACATTTCTGCCAAGATTGCCACGAAATTTATGATACAATCTGTCACATACTATTACTTGTTCCTCGTTTTGTTTAATACGTTATTGTTGTATATAATTATTTGAATAAATTTTCAATCTTCTAAGAATCTTATGAATTTTTATTATGTGCCTGAAGAAAATTATTTGTAGAAGATGTAATGTAAAAGATGTATTTTGATAAAAATCAAAACTATATACCTAAGTATAATAAATAAAACAAAATATAAGATAAAAGATATAACAGATGCAAAGATGCGTGTCGATCGATGGATAAGTTGGAAAGAATTACTTGGATTTTTCACGAGTTTGAAAAACTCAAACACACAGGTTTGGCACAACGGTGGATAGATTCCTTGACGAAAACGAGCTCTGGCCCGGAACGTCGACAAACCAGAACGAGAAATAATAATAACAGCTCACGCAAAGATTCCACTCGCGATTTCAATCTAATATTTAAATAGATTCTGCGGCCGGTGTTCGCGAACGAGCGTAAGAAAAGAAGACAAAGACGGAGATATTCTTCCTGGGCTGAATAGTCGGGCGGAAGTTGAACCATACTTTCTTACCTCTCTTTCATTTTTCATTTTCTTCTCCTCGTTTTTCGCTATCCTTGTAAGAAAAACCATAACGGTTCAATGAACTTAATAAAACTATCTAGGTCGAATTAACTATTTATCTGTGATTTTGTTAGCAATACAATATTATAAAATATTATTTTCTTACAATTATTAATCGATAAATAAACAGTTACCTTTTAATTAATAACTACTATTATTTACACGATTATTATTTAATCGCAATTGCATTCAGGTAAATATTCACATTCAAGTAGGTTTTTAAAAACATTTTTTCAACATCCAGGCAAATAAGCTTCCGGACAAGATGACTCCGCTCCTGCAATTAAAACGATTAATCAGAGATATGAAAATTAACGAATAATTTACTTCTACAATTTAATTCACCAACAGGTTGCAATTTTAATAAATGGAAAACCATGCGATTAGTAGTAGCAATCGATGATCAATTACGCAAACCATGTTTCGAAATCGTCTTAACAAGCATCGAAGGTGAGCAACAAAGAATCCGACGATTTTATAGGATTGGCTAAGATGGCAACAATTGGCATCGCGTCACTTGTGCATCTACGGCAATCTTAGTGCTAATTAGAGAGTCTGCCGCCACGAGGAGGACCGTGGAAGAATCATTAATTTGTTTGACGTAACGCGGATTCGGATCTCGTTCAAGCTGAAACACGATGATCGAATTTGGGGCTCGAGACCGAATTTCGATCACGGATCCCCGCGAATTCTGAAAATGGACAGAAACGATCCAGTCAACAACGATCGTTAACAACTTTGTTAAAAGATAGATCCATGGATTTCATCTATTCTTCTTTGATATATTTTAGAATTTTCTTCTTTATTATAAATTCATGTTAATGAATATATATTTATAACGAAACATGCAAACTACGTTAAATACCTTTGAATTTTCTTTCATAATAAATTCATTGAAAAAAAGTGTTGCACGTTAATGTAAAAATTGTATCAAACCTTGACCTTCTGATGAATTAATTATAAGATATGAAAAATATTTTCAACGTACCACAAACAGATGCTGATGGGTGTCGCGTGCCTTATGCGGCTATACCATGCCACCTGAAATTCTTCGCTGCTATTGAAATGCCGCAATATGTGTAACGCGCTGCAACAGAATTTTCCAAGCGACCACGATTTATAATACGATTAATAATACATGGGTAAAAATAATTTCGTATCGATTACATTGAGCAACCTGCACTCATCACATAACTACGTTATACAGCATGCTTGCGATACAATTTTATTAATAATAATAATAGTAAAATTAAATAAATATTTACTCTATTTTATTTTTTCCTTATTTACAATAATTATTGTATAAATCTGAATTTACGCTTTAATGGATAACAAAATTTTATAAATGATAATTCATTCTATCAAAATAAATTCCCTTAAATCAATTTTTCCCCCATAAAATTAGAACTTCACACGATCAAGAATTGCCATACGTCAAAATTTATTCAACGACGATCTCTCAGATCGTTTAACTCGAATAATTTGATACACGCGAATCCGATACAAAAGTTGTACAGTAAAAACGATACACACGTGGACACGTGGAAACCCTTGGAACAATGCCAGCGTCAGATTTTCTGACGCATTGTGATATATGAACGCGTGGTGAATTGTGCTAAACGGTTTAACGCATCGAAAGAAAATGCATACTTGATGGAGGGAATGATAATTCATTTCGATCTAATTCGAATGTGATGAAATTAGCTGATTTCGCGATTGTCTCCAATCTATGATTTTTATAAGTTGTACAATTTCTCGATCAAAGTTATCATTCCACAATTATTGTTTTCATTAGCGTTTTTTTTCAAACGTGCAACAATACTTCGTTAATACTTTATGTTTGTATTAATTTTGAAAAATAAATAAAACGTACGTGGAAAGAAGTAAATTTTTATCATATTTTTTATAAAATCTTAAAAATTTCAAATTTTATACATTCTTTTTTAATTTAATTTTTAATTATATATTTTTATATATGAAAAAAATGAAATATTATATTATTATTATAATCAAAATTCTTAGTAAAATTTTTAAAAAATATTTTATAAATTTAAATGTATTTAGATATAAGATAATTAAGTGATCCAATTTCAGATACGTTCAGTTAAAACGAATTCTATAGGAAATCGCTATTAAGTGGTAGGTGGAACAATAAACGTTAGGACGCGAATCAAAATTTACGATTTCAAACGGTAGGGAGTAATTTGCAGTAATTTTCCAGCAGTGATGCTCATTTATACGTATAAGAGGTTATTGTTTCGATAGCTTGGGAAATAGAAAGTAAACGAAAAGGATTCTAATGTATTTGATATCGATGCTTGCGCTCGTTTGTGATTTTAAGCTGTCTGGATAAAGAAAATTCGATCGATCGTTCATTCGATCCGATTGAAGAAATAAACCGTAAGAATTGTTGCCGTTCGAACGTGTCGATACTCGCGTAAAATAAGATTCATTGATCACGTTGTGTTATTGACTACTTGTCACGCACTATATTCTACTTACATCAAAGATCGAGTGATTTATAGTATTATGAAAAAGTGAGTATAATTGTTATTTTATGCGTATAATGAATTATAGAATGTTCAATTCTTAGAATTCTAAGTGAAGTAATAAATTAAATACTTCATAGTAATTTTCTTTAATAACATTATTTAAATTATTTTAATAGTATAATTTTAAATATTTTAGATAAATCTAAAATACAAAAAAATACTATAAAAAAATTCTTAAAAGACTTTAAAATGATCTTATTTAAGTCTTTACATGAGTATTTTCTAAAGCTTGAGATCCTAAAATTCAAGAAATTAAAAATTAATATTACTTTTGTTAAAAATATAATATATATATGTTATATTATAATTCATTATTATTTATATTATAATTCATATATGAACTTCTAGAGATTTATACTGAGAGATCTGCGAGACGTTGAAGGGTTCTTAGGTCGTTCACCTATTCCGCTGATATTTATAGTTTTCCTGGTGATGCTCAACTGACAAGACGCACGATTATAATTAATCTCTTTCTCGGTAATGCTATATCGGTCTTGTTACGTTTTAAAAGTATAAAAGATTCTATACTTTCGCTTATATATCTGAACTTTAAAGTGAATTTGAAATCTTTTTACCTGTTGGTTTTCCATCGAAGCGAATCACATTTGATCTATGCATTCAAAATCCTATGAAACAATACGCGATTAAAATATCAAAAATGTATTAACTAGGACAAATTTTGGCAAAACGAAAATGCGGTTACGTCATATAAAATCACGTGCATCGATATTACTTTGTAAGTGCAATGATGAGTATACGCGGTTGCCCTTGGATAAGATCCAAAATTGTTCCGGCACCTTACTTTGAAGCAGCTTCATACTAAAATACCAACTGCGTATTTAATACCTAATTATATTTACCTGATGCGTAAGGTAAAATATAAAAGATACCTGAAACACCTGTCCTTTCTCTACATTTGATATTTATAGAAATCGCGATACGTTTACATGGATTGGTCGTATTTGCACTTTTCCTTTAATCTCACCTCATTGTTTTGATAACCTGAATTATGATGTAAGTACAAAGCGTAAAATACGAGTTTCTGCAAGCATGTCTTGTGTCAGTTTGACGGCCAGCCATGAAGATATTTATGCTGGACGACAACGAAGTTTAAATTTATTTCACATTAAATGAGCTGATTGCCTAAAGGTATTTAAATACGCACATTATTCTGGTCTTTCAATTGTATCGACTGGTTTGTCGCTCCTTGAAGAATGATGAAAATATTATATCATTTTTTAGATTAATTCAAACCAATCGTCTTGTACATATTTTCAATAAATTATTTTTATTTTGTGTAACGATAAAAAAAAATAAAAGCAAATAATATTTCTAACCTTTTATGGTTTGCTACAGCTACCAAAACACGTCTTTGAGCAAAAGGCATCACATCCACTTGGCCAAAAGATGAAAACTTCTCCATCAACTAGAGGAAAATATTTATATTTAGATGTTTCTAATGATATTAAATACAATTTTATATTTGAATATACCTGTTTAATATCTACAGATGGTGATTTTAATTTCACGTGAAGCCATTCTGGTCTTGATAACATTGGATCTGGACCATCAAATTTCTAAAATATACATTACAATAATTAAAATTATTATTTTATATATCTTAGTTATCAAAAGAAATATATATCTTCTCACCATATACATTTCATTGCCTCTTGTTATATTTATACAATTTACAAAGTTTTTTATGCTACTTATTAGTTCAGCATGCGTTACTTTTCTTTCTTCCAAACCTCTAAAAATAAAAATTATTATTCAAGATCAATAAATACAATACAATTATAATATAAATATTATATAAATATCAACCATACGTTCCAAATTTATGTACACAAAATATGTGTGCCATTTTTATATATATATATCCAGCAAAGTAAGCATCCCATCCAGCAGTGTGATATTTTTTTTCATCTAGGATAATATCTGAGTCTATAATATAATAAAATTTGAATTGAGAATATAAAATTATATTAAAATATAATAGATTTTAATAAATCATCATAAAAGTAATTTACTTGAAGATTCTTCATTAATTGCAATCTTTGGTGAATTCAAGGTTAATAATTTTCCTTTAGTTGTAAAATATTCGTATAAAGTACTCAATGAACTTATTTTCCAACTCACTTAAAGAAAAACATGTTCATATGTTTATACAACTTTTATATTATTTATTATAATTTTTTTTTCTTTTTATCATTGCTTTTTACCTTCTTCCTTGCTAAATAATTTTCGTACTTCGTAACTTAAAAATTTTGTGTCATATATTTGTGGAAATAATTCATGTATATTGCTTTTGAATTCATTATATGAATCTAAAATATATATAAATTTAAATTATATAATTTATTAAATATTGTATATGTAAAAAAACAATAAAATATTATTTTATTAAATATTATATGGAATATTTAATACTTGGCAATGGTTTATAAAATTGTTGATGCATAAACATTAAATCTAAAAGTATATTATGTCCTATTATTATTTTTTTAGAAGAGGCCAAGAGTTTAAATACTTTAGAAAATCCTATGTAATAATCTAATAATTCTTTCTCCAAATTTTCTTCATCATTTTTTCTTAAAAGTTCATACATGTCAGGTAATACTTCTATAATACCTACCTAAAAAAGAAACAACTCCGTAAAATGTTTGTAATATATATATATACTTATTTATATCAAAATATAAATAAAGATATTATATACATAAGATATTATATACATACTGATTTATCATCCGATATACTCCATATATTTTTATACTTGTGTCTTATGTCTTTATGTATCAAATATTGTAATATAGGATTAGAAGTTTCCACCTTTAATGTTTCTCCATTTCTCTTATTAGCAATCCATTCAGAAATTTTAATTTTATAGTTTATGAACTCATTTTCTTCTTCATATGTTAAATGATTTAAATTATATGCTAAACTACCTTCTTTTATATAATTTTTTAATAACTTTTCATCTGTCTCATCCAAGAATGAAATACCTTCATTTAAAAACTACAAGATATATATTAGAACTAAGCAAATAATTTGTACTAATAAATACAAATATATTTTATAACACAATTTTACTTAAACAACATACTTTATTAAATTCAAAATTATGTTTACAAAGGAACTCTAATGCTGCCACTTGCCATATTAAGTGTCTATTTTTTAATGGTATAGATTTTGGAAACAAATAAGAATTAAAACAATCTACTTTATAGGTATTTTCATAAGGAATATGACGAAAAGTTGCAATGCCAAATTGTATTATCATAAATTGCTCAATATTTTTCTTTAATAATTTATAACGATCATTGAATGTATCAAAAAAGCTGAAATAAAAGAGATACAAGTGAGAAAAAGTAGTAAAATTGAAGTTGATTTTTAATTCTTAAACAAACCTAACCTATGTTTCAATTTCTCTTCTGAATATAGACCAGTAAATTCAGCATCGATGGCAATAAAAGTTGCATTGTTTACAGCAATTTCCAACTTTGGATACAAAGTTTTAAAATTCTTGTTTAAAACTTCATTCATATTATTAAATTTTATATATTTATCTACACTGGAACTTTCCTCTTAAATATACCGTAATGTACGTATGAATGTACAATGTGAATATAACCTAGAATATCCAATGAGAACTACAGTATTAATTTTTATCACAAAAAAATTAATTTCGCGATGAAATGAAATAAAAATTTACGTATTTAAAATTTGATTTGTTAAATAATACTTAGTTTTAAAGATCATTTCTGAAGAATCAAATATTCAAATATTATTCAAGATAATGGCAATAAGATAATGTTTAAAATTTGAAATTGCACATACTTATAATTAAAATTAAAAATTAATAAATAATATATATAAAAATGCACACATTTTTTTTTAACTCGTTAAATAAAACTATTATAGCTTATTCTGTCTAACTGTCTAACTATTCTGTCTGTATTTAAAATTATTAAATACGAATAATTTTAAAACTGATGCAATTTCTAAAATATTACATACAATGCATATCATTATCAAAATTAATTATAATTACAAATAATAATATAAGTATAATTATACTTTAATGCTTCGAAAGTGAATAAAATTAATCGAATCTTGATCAAAAAACAAAAATCAACTATCCAATTACCGTATATAATTTATTCCACTTTCTCAAGAAATTTCTCGTTGATTTTCAGCAACAACAGTTTAATTCGACATAAATTCAATCGTTAATCAAAGATGATAAAAAGGATTTGAAGGCGTAGCAAAAAAAAAACTCGATCGAGCAATTTCTTTCGAAAATTTTCCATTCGAACAATCACACAAGTTACAACTTTCTCGTTGTTAGATAATCAAATTGGAAAAACAAATATATCAAACTGTGCAAATAACTCTCCCATAATAATTAGAATAAAAATTATTAATAACAAATAAATAAATCATGTGCAATATCAATTTCAATATTAAACGTGAGTATGAATATAATCAAATGATCTAAAATAAAATAAATACATCGTTTTAAACTTCTTTCTCGTTAAAATTCCTACACGCTAGCTTTTTCGCAACGATCTATCGAGTGCAACCGAGTTCCTCGCTCGACTGTGATCGTCACAATCTGCACTCGGCCAGTTGCATATCATCGAACGAAACCTGTGGACAGTTTTTCACGTGTTCCACGATAATCACGTTGCAACAAAGAAACGAGCGTGAACGAACCGACAAGTGAGCGTTTCCGCGGTTGAAAGATCTTTCTTTTTAATCGGCGAACAACTCTCTCTCTGGCAATGAACTTGCGCCTATCGTGTTAGTGTATTCGCGGCCACGAAACTGGATAGTTCGTCCTGTTGATCGTTTCACCATTGGCATTTTATATCAAGTGTACTTCATTGTTGCACACAAGAGATATTTGAACCGAGATCTTGTCCTCAACAATGTTCTTCAGGTTCTCTATATTCGTGGGTCTGAGTTCCGTGGTAGCAACTATTATCTATCTGACACCTATACCACGTGAGTTTTTTTTTTTTTTTAATATTGTGTTAAATTTGAATATATATTTTTTTAAATTAATAATATTATAAAATTCAATATTATTTTAAATATTCGTTGTTGGAGATTAATGTCGTGAGAGTGGAAAATAATATATTCTGTTTATGAAAATTTTATTCTTGATACGGTGGAAATTTGTGGATTTAATTGTTCTCATAATGAATTCACGAATATTTTTGCGACAGATTTTCAGTGATTTATTAATAAAAATTTCATCAAATCGATTAGGAGAGATTTTTTTCGAAAGGCGAATGAACTCGAATTAAGATCAATATATATCTTTTAGTAATGCGTGAAGATATTTTCATTTCTAAGAATAAAAAATGTAGCAACCGTTAAGCATGCTACATAAACTTAAACTCATATCTACAATTCGTTCATATAATCTCCAATTTATTTCTATATAAATCTAATAATTTTAATTTATATTCCAAATATTTATAAAACTTTAGATATCTTTAGTTATCTTTTTAAAAAATCAAATCTCTAGAGAAAGGAAAACGTGAATCTATAAATTCATATTTATAGATTTTACATGTTATCCTACAAATTTCTAAAAAGTACTTTCGATTTAACGGCTCTAGTTTTTCTTCCAATAGTTAAAAATCTAAATTGATTTATGAACTCTAAAGTTGTTTTTACTTTTCTATTATGACAAATAAAAAATATTTCTACAAAAGTATTTATATATAGGAATATTAAATTTCGAATGTTTCGCGAGAAAGCGCTTCTTACTGTAAAATTTAATGCCATTCTCGAACAAACCGCTTTCTTCCGCTTTTGACACTTTTGACTGGCCCCCTTTTGACACATATTCTTCGTCATTTCGAATTAAATTTGACTCGACTAATCTTTATTCGAAACTGAATCGTTTTTTTTTTTTTTTTTATTTACACGAAATCACGATCCTGTAACGTTTCACTTTCACCCTCGAACAACGGTAACGTCTAAATTAAATTTACGAACGTGTAAATGATAAAAATAAAATTTCACACATATTTCTTTTTTCTTTACAAAATTAAATTTAAAACAATTTTGTTTTCCCACGAATAGATTGATAATCTTTTTTTTGTAAGAAACGGTCGTTTGCACCATTATTTCCTCCCCAAAAACTTGGAAATAATTGCGTTTATCAATTAAAATGAATCACCCTATATACACGGATAAAAACTTGTTCAAGCTGTTCTACTTATTGCTACAATATATCTCAATGCCTACTCAGTCTTGCAAAGTGAAATATAACGCGTAGAAATACTTCGAATTTAATGTTATTTAGAATCGTGAACGTTGTATCTAAAAAGTTACTTGAAAAATTATTCGTCGAATTCTTCGAACGATAAACGAGGTTAACAAAATTTGGAAAGAAGAGAGTTCATTTACTTTTGGATATATTCTCTCCGAACTCTATTCTCTCTATTCTCTTTCACACCAGAAAGGTCACGTGAAAGTCTTCCAATGAATTTCCTTATGTCCATATCGCTATAAATCACTTTCTTCCACATTCATTGCAAGAAATCGCGTTTGTCATCTTTCTTGGAAACAATTACAAACCGAACAATATATCGAATAGGAAACTTGTTCTAACCTCAAAGAAGAAAGTAATTTCGACATTACGTAACACAAGAACGAGATGGAAAGTATATAGGTTCTTTCTTTCTATCTTTCTTCATTAGTCGGTTTTACGATGTAGAAATATCGATGTTGTTGTTCGGTCATGATCGCGGCCACGCGGCCGTAAAAATTCCGTTTAACGGGCGAGATACATTCTACAGATAACGAAAATCGTAACGTTGAAATTAAAAGTTCTGGCGGGCGAAAGAAACTCGGGTAGCGAATAATTAACCACCCCTCTCCGGTGTAAGGTGAAAGCGAATATTGTAACACTGAACGCTTCGAGATCACGTGCGCTTATTCTAATCGTTTGCACGTAGGGTAAAAATGGATAAAAATCATATTTTGGACGGTATTGGTATTATTTTTTGCGCAAGGAAAATGTAATAATTTCGAATATTTCAGAGAATGGAGAAAGTTAGAAAATGAATAAATATATAGTAATTGATAGTTGAGTCTAAGTGGCGCTAATGTCACCGGTAGTTGTAATATTAATTGGATCTTACGCAATGAGAAAATAACAGTTTTCCTTTAAAAATATAATATTTGATTTGACGGAAAGTTAGATTTTTCAAAGGATAAAGGTAAAATCAATAAATTTTCTGGCTGATTACGCATCATCGCATTATCATCCCCAATTTAACATCACTCGTGCATATCGCAGTATTTATCTTCAAAAAAAAAAAGGGGTAATATTCGATTCAATTCACAAATCCGTTTCTATCTCCTGCACGCACAATTGGCAAAAAGTTTTAGTAAATCGCTTAGATATTTTACTGAAAATTAAAGAAAAACATTTTAATTTTTTAACATTACTTAAAATTGCAAAAAATTTTTTTCTAATGAATCTGTTAGAATTAATTGAAATTCCATGTAATTGAGAATAGCTGCAAGTTTTCAACTCGTGTAATTATTTGCAATTATAACAAGTTTCTTGTCAGAATTTTTCTTGTAATCGATAAGAATTAATTAAAAAAAGTAGTAAATGATCCTTGGTGAAATTGAACTCGCGTAAATAACGCGACAGCCAGTAATTCTAGGTATGCATTTCATCGATCTGGCTTTCTAACGTCCTGGAAACGAAACACCTTAGCGACAAGAGATCTTTGCTGCCGGATAGATTTCCGGAAGCACCGCTTAAAAAAAATTCTTTCAAATTTGTCCAGAAGATGGTAGCAAACATTTCATCCAAATATTTACATTTCCTTATCTTCTCGTCGATCATTTATCGCTTGTCAAGCGATAAATATTATAAATAAATTTCTAATTTTTTTCTATAATGGCTAAAAAATTAATCCTCAATTTAATCATGATAGATATACAATCTGTTTGAAGATTGTGATCAGTGATATTATTGGTGCCAATTAGTATTTAAAAAATTTGTAAATCGATATAAATCGAAATAAATTAGTAAAAAGTAGAAAGCCTGTCTCGTAGAAATGGCACTTACAGTAATCGAGTAAAAACAAATAACACCAGCGAAAGCGAAATCGAAATCGAAATCGAAATCGAAATCGAAATTGAAATCTCTTGGACCCGTTTGTAATCGACAGCTCGGTGAAAGAGAAAGAAATGGAGTTACGTGGAATAAGAGAGGGGGGAACAGAGAGAAATAGAGACACGGAGAAAAATATATACATATATGGATTCTTCATATAAATTCAAGATCTTTAAAAAATTATAATCAACTTTAAAAACTCATACTCTCTCTCTCTCTCTCTCTCTCTCTCTCTCTCTCTCTCTCTCTCTCTCTCTCTAATTCTACAACAAATCAAACAATTGGAAAAAAACAGATATGAAGAATTATCCGAGATAATTATAACATATATATAGCGAATATATAAAAAAAAAGAGTCAAAATCAACGGGATAACAAAAGAACGAGACTTATGTGTATCAATAATTAAAAAGCTTAGATACGTTCGTAGTTCAAAATGTACAAGCGAATGAAGCACAAATTGTATGAACGAGACGAAAGGAGAAACGTAAAAGGATCAAGATAAAAAAAAAGAGAGAGAGAAAGAGAGAGAAACACGTAAAAAGAATGGAAGATTGCTTTTACGTACGAGAAGATAGATAATGGTAATTAGTAATGTATATGAGATAAACAGAAAAGAAACGTGATACACGCATATGTATGAGGTAACCGTGCCCACCAGCTCCCTTCGAGCCAACTTTCACTCGCCATTTCGCCGTCTCTGACACATATTCGATATCCAGAGATGGTCGTGGTGAGAGACCAGCGGAGCGAGAGCGAGGTGGGGAGGGGGAGGGCACGCGTGATTTTACCTCAATCGATATTGTCACCGGGATCGCGTGTTGAACGTCTGTCCATTGATGAATCTGGAGATTCGCTTTCGCAACTGGATAAAAAAAACGCGATGGCACGCGAGATAGGAAAGGGAGGGAGGGAGGGAGGGTCAGATAGAGAGGGGAAAAAGGTTACCTCCAAGTTCTGGCAATGAAATTTCGGCCAAAACTATCGCTCGTCAGTCGTTTACGGATACCGCGACAGTAGTAGTTGGCTCCCCAAGTGTTCTCGCTTCGATCGTGTCTAATTGGTACTTATATGCAGTGAAAAATCATCATTATTTATTTGTCTTGTATCGTGGAAATATTTTTCTTTTTCTTTTTCTTTTTCTTTTTTTTTTTTTGATTTCGTTCATCGATTATTATATATTCTTATTTTTCATTCCCGTTATTCATTCTTTTTTCGTCCTTAATAATCTCATCTTCATTCTAGATTTTGCCGAGTTTTTCCAACTCGTTTCGAGCTTTGTTTGAAACGAGGTATCGATTAAACTTATGTGAAATAAGAAAGAAATCTTTGAGTTGAGATCATTTAGAAATTTGTTTTAGAAATTAGATTAGAAAATAACCGGTTAACTTGATAAGGATTGATCCGGTGTTGCCGATTTTTATAACTTTCCTTCACTTCACATTTGAAAATGTGGACGCCGCCATTCGCTCGATACGAATTTGACCGAATGGATCGATTTTTCTGTAGTTTTTCCTCCGTTTCATACACGTGGAGAGAGGGTCGTTACGCAAGTTTTAATCAACACGCGAATATCAAATTTTCTATCGTTCCGTTTGACCGTAAATCATATTTGTTACTTAATGTTACTTAAATAATTTATTATTTAAAAACAGCTTTCATTTAGTTCGTCATAAAAGACTAACTAAACTGAATTTAATATTATGTAACGTGAATCTAATATTATGTATTCAGTTTTACACACGTATGACATAAAACTATTATCACGAAAGTGAAATTAATTCGAATTAATTAATTTTGCGCCGCAACATCTTCGGCAATCAATTATATCAATTATATTTTTATCGATTTATTTTTTATCGAATTATATTCTTATCAATTTATATTTTTTTCCATTTTTGAAGAGGAAGAAGAGGAAACGACGATCGTTTAGTAACCTCCATCAAATTAAAACATTTCAAAATCAGATAAAAATTCTTGACACTAGAATTCCAAGAATTTCTCTAATCTCCACTCCATCTACTATAAGACAAATCTTCAAAACTCTCTGAAGAGTTATTCTCGACAGAAGAAAAATTTTATTACATTTACAAATTTTTTATTACATTCACAAATTACTTCGAAACTTCAGAGAAAGTTCCGAAAACCGAATTAGATCCCTTTTCAAATTATTTCTGATAAAACGAAAAGAAAGAAGAAAAAAAATGGAAAAGAAAGAAAAAAATCAATGACCAGTTTAAAAACAACACGAGGTTGCACGTGAAAAAAAAAAGGCAGAAAGAGAAAGGGAAAGGGAGAGGAAGAGAGTGAGGGCCAGTTCTGGGTAACGAAAATTCTGGAGTGCTCAGTTGTTCACGAGAAAGTGTAACACAGTGTTCACGAGTTCACGTGTGCAGGGTTCAGGTTTGATATGGGATTATCATCATTCATCTTTCCTTATTTACCCGAGAGCAATCTTTTTTTATTCCTATTCAATTTTTTAGAATTTTAAACGAAAATCGTTTCTTCTCTCTCGTTCTTATTTTTTTCTTAAAGTTTTCCTTCGTTATCAATGAAATTTAAAAAAAGAAAAGATAGTCTTGATAGATATAGATTGCTTCATTTTTTTTTTTTTTTTAGTGAAATTTTAGTGTCGGATCGAAGTATAATTAAACAGAAGAAGTTCTCTTCGTTCAATTTCACAAGATAAAAACGAAGGTTGAACACACACGAGTTAAGCTAATCATAATTTTATGATCTGTAATCAGTTGCTGTATAAATGTCATCACTTTCACGAGATCTTCTTACAAGTATTTACTTACGAATATTTCTTTTCTACTCGATATAAATGTTAAAACTTTCTCTTACAAATTCAAATATTATAATCGAGTTCGATTTATCGTGAAAGTTCTCAAGAGCTTTTTGAAAAACGAAAAAAAATTGCATGTAGAGTAGACTGGACACATATAAAACATCAACAAACATAGGAGAAAGTTGATCGTGCATGAAAAAAGAGATTATTATCTATTACATTAGATTTCATTTGTTCTTCCAAATCTTCAGGATCAGAAATTATAAATATATTTTAAGCACAAAGCTTCTTTCGTTCGTTGGAAATTTCATTTCCAATCTTCTCTGAAAAGTAACATTTCCACTCGTCGAAAGTTCATTGAATATATATCAATCTCTCGTGATACAAACGCACGCGTATCTCTCAATGCAAACAAGCGTTACGATCTCTCAATTAATTCGATCGAAATCAATTTAATTACAAGAACGTATATAATAACGCGATAATATTCGATTAAGACGTACTTCTTAAAAAAAAAAAAAAAAAAAAGAAGAAGAAAAAAAAGGAATACACGAGTTCAGAGATGTCGCACGCTAGATTGAATCAAATTACGAAAGAATGTGTCGTACAAAGATTATAAAAATTTTTACGTAATAATGACACGGTTTAATCGCAATACGATTAGATGGCCTTCGTACATCCCCCTCTGAGACATTATTCAACGTCGTTTCGTGTTTGCTCTTATTTCATCCTCCTTAGTTTCAAGGGAAATTCATTAAATTACATCATCTACGACGACGGAAGGAAAAATAGTTTATAAATAATTCCGGTTCAAAGGAAAAAAGAAAAAAAAAAAATGTCTCTCTTTCTCTCCAAGTTGGAAATTTAAAATTATATAGGCTAGGATAATCAAGATGCAAAAGTGTAATAATATTCTTTTTCTGAAATATACAAATTGCACTTTCCACGAATTGTTTCGAAACGCCATTTTTGCGTGTCATGTCGTTTTCACGGCCGAGCGAAAGTTTTTAACATAATTCATCTCGAGATAGATCGATCGATGAATGAAATTAAATAGAATAATATTTGGAAAGAAAAAAGTAATAATATTTGAGAAAAGAAGTAATTCTTTGGAACAAATGTCGTTAACCCTTGATCATCAGCGTATCAAAAGAAGATTATTTCAATCGTTGTTACTTGATATATATATATATACCGTATATATTATATCAACGTGAATAATTGAAAATATTATTCACGCATGTTATCATCATTATCGAGATTGTCTTCAACGGCTCTTCTTTACTTTCCACTCGAAAGATCAAGAGAAATATTTGCTTAACCATTCAAGTACAAGTATTAAACAGTTGAGACTTTCATCTTCGTCCTTTCGCTTTTTTTTTTCTACATACAAGATTCCTTTCACCTAGTTGATATCACAATTCTAGTTGCTAGGTATCGATTTCGACCGGTATCCTTAATACATTTGAGAACACACTTCAGAACAATCCATCTTCCATAATTTTCTCTTTCTTTCGATCCTATATTTCTTTTTTATCATTATTATATCCAACATTTCTAAATTTCTCCTATATATTTAATAGTATAGCAGTAAAAAAACAGCGTTCTTCTAATCGACCGATCTTTCCAATTATTTCCTTTTCTTTCATTCGATATATATATATATATTTTTCATTTATCTTTATTCACTCGACGATTTTCTCTTCTCTATCTAATTTCGATAATTTCACATTTTCATAAAAAAAAAAAAAAAAAAAAAACATCCTCACAATCCACGATATTCCACGATATTCCATTTTCTTTAATTTCACATTTTATTCACGTAATAAAATTTATTTTTATCATCTCGATGCTATTGTTCCAACTGCTGTTTCACAATACAATGGTGGGAAAAAAAAAAAAAAAAAAAAAAAGAACTCGAACAACAATTGCTCAGAGGTCCAAGCAACTGTAGGTTGCTTCTGTGACTTTTTGAGTGGAATAATCGCGGGGAGAATGCAGTCACCTGCTGTTATCGTTGCATAACAAACCGGGTAGACGATGAGAGCCTCGAAGAGCACGGACCTGGCGATGATGATGGCTACCTATGGCCTGCGATTCCTCGTTGTCGTCTTCACGATCGCGGCAGCTGCCACATTTTTGCACGTGAATAATTACAGGCCCAGTAAGTCCGCGTTTCACGCGACTTTCTCTCGTCATTGGACCGGGATAATTATTTTCAATCTTCATTTCTGGATTTGTACAAAAATTTATCAACTAATTTCTTTCTTTCTCTCTCTCTCTCTCTCTTTGCGAATTCTACACAAGTTCGTTTCCTTTTTTCTCTTTTTTTGTTTCGTAGAACAAATATTCCTCTCGTGCGACAGACCATGCCATCACCTGGACTGGCCCATGATTTGTCGAGTGAAACTGACTTTGGAAGTGTTCCAGTCACTTAGCAAGTAAGATTATTTTAATATATATTTTCGTTGAAATAATATCCCCCCTTTTTTTTTATTATTATTTTATCTTGGAATTAAAAACCAATGACTATTTAATAATCATTTTCAAAAAACTTCGTCTTTCGTCCGTTCGATCTCTTTTACGATGGATGGAAGAAAGAAAAATAGAAAGAAAGGGAGAAACAGAGGAAATATTCATCTTTGCATAATCCGATTCACTGACAAAAGAGAATGTTAATTACGTTACGATACGTGGTTTACCTTTACTTATAATATCCACGTAACGATTCTCGCGTTCACTTCTATCGGAATCATCGAGTGGAATAACCAATCCCAATTACGCAATTTCTTAAGCGATGAAACGCGGAAGACTCGACTCGAAAAGCAAGTCAATTCACGAGAGCTATCGTTTCTCAATCGCTCGTTCGCGCTATAATCCCCTGTCATTACGGTCTCCATCTTTTTTCTTTTCTTTTTCTCCTTCTCTCTCCTCCATTGTTTCCAACCTGTGCAGATCGTGCGGCGATTGTCCGAGGAACGAGACCGCGTGTTTGGCCGACCATTGCGTCTCGGCTGATGGACAGAGGCGAGGTATACTGACCGCGAATCGTCAGATGCCTGGGCCCACTATTCAGGTAATTAAGTATCGCCAATAATTTCCATTATTATTCCCACGCAACGTGGGAATGCTTGGATCATTTATTAATTAAATATAATAAATTCTGACAAAGAAGAAACGCTTCATTCCTTCCTTCTATATAAATCTTTTCTTCCAAAAATTTCTCCTTTATTTTTCATTTCCCTTTTTTTCCCTCTTTTTCGATTAAATTCTACGTATCGTAGTAATAACTCGAGGAGTATTCTTATTAAAGATTTTAGACGAACAAGAATCGATTCGAAACGTTTCGATCAGGACACGTGGACAATTGTGTTTGGTGTACAGGTATGCGAAAACGACATCCTCGTGGTGGACGTGATCAACAGGCTTCCAGGTAAAGCCGCCGCGATACATTGGCGGGGTCAGAGCCAGCTCGAGACACCGTACATGGACGGCTCCCCTTTGGTCACTCAATGCCCGATACCGAGTTACACCACTTTCCAATATAAATTCCGCGCCTCCGCCGCTGGAACGCATTTGTGGCACGCTCACGCTGGTAATTAATTATTAAACGCGCTAATAAAGATCGATCGTTTCGAGTTTTTGAAACGATACTTCATCCTTTTTTCTTTTCTTCTTTTCTTTTTTTTCTTTTTACTTCCTACTTTTTCATTATCCCACTCAATTAATCAATTTATTACATTGCTTTCTAGCATGTTAAGAAAAATAATAATAATAATGGCATGTTTAGAAAATAAAATCTCTATTTTATATATATATATATATATATATATTTATAGAAAGTGTAATAAATGATTTTGATAAATGATATTGAGTAATGGGCGACAAACGACTTTCGTTTCACATACATTCATTCATGACATCAGCGCTTACGGAGATAACGATCGATTCACAGTGCATAAATGTTGCGTAAGCGAATCGAGTGGTATAAAAAGAGCGTGCCGCGATTAAGCGGCCCTTTTTCCACAACAATTGCACATTTTTCAATTATTTCGCGATATTATTTCGAAAATTATGGTTAAACACGAACAATTCCAAGAACATGCACGATAGATCGAAATCTTTTTTTCTCTCCTTCGAAATCGATATCGAGTGCGATTTGCAGGGGACGACGTCTCGAATGGCATATTTGGGGCGTTGATAGTGAAGCAAGCGGACATAAGGGATCCTCACAGGGCATTGTACGACGTCGACGACTCGAATCACGTGATTCTGGTGAGCCAATGGCAGCACTCGGGCGAGATCACGTTCACGGACGGCCACGCGAAACCAGCCATCCTTTTGGTGAACGGACGGGGACGTCAGCCGAATGGGCCCAGGGTTCCTCTGACCAAGTTCACCGTGCTCCCTGGCCGACGTCACAGATTCCGGTTGGCCAACGCCGGTGGCGCTGGATCCTGCCCAATAACTATCCTCGTCGATGCTCACCCCCTTCTTCTGATCGGCCTTGACGGCCAGCCGGTCGAACCACGTCAAGTCGCATCGATCACTTTGGCCAAAGGTAATCTTGCTCCTCGCCTCGGAATATCTCGTTGAATTTTCGAGATTTCGATCAACGGCAATATAATCGAATAATGATCGAAAGGAATTGGAATTTTCTGCTAACACTTGATTCGAAATTAATCCTACAAGTATCGATAATAATAATTATAGATCGATCGAGAATCTTGAATCTTTATCGATTTTTATTACATCGATTATAATCCACGAGTTTAATAAATTTAAAAGAGTTAAAAAAGAGAAGAAGCAAATACATTTTAGAAATAGACATTAATTGCCGCTGACAAGATCAACAAGAAGGTCTACAAAATAAATAATTAATTGCAGGGGAGAGAGCGGATTTCGTTCTGAAAGCGAATAAACGGATAGCTTCCTACTGGATCAACATACACACGTCGAAAGAATGCGGAACGAGTTCCATAAATGGGGCTGCAATATTGAACTACAAGGGAAGCTCAACGGAGGACCCGTTGCCCACGGCGGAACCCGTCCAACAGCCGGAAGCCGAGGAATCGAACGATCTAGTCGCGATGACGACAAACCCGGCGGACAAATGTGGAAATCCCGAGAGTCTGTGCGTGATGGAAGTGCACTCGTTGAGGAAGATGCCATCCGACTTGGGGAAACAGAAAACAGACGTCACCGTTCGTTTGCCCATTAATTACAAGCTTCAAACGAACGACATCGTAGGTGAGCGACCAACCATTCCTTCGTTTTCGACGAAATTTTCGACCTACGCTTTCTCCTTTCCAATTTTTATATACTTTATATTTCACTTTGAAAAGAATAATAATTGAAGGAATCATCATCCTTAATCGGTTTTAAACTGTTTATTCATAGAGCAGATCTTGAAATCTCGTTAATTTCTTCAAGTTTTCAAATTATCCATTTCTGGCTCTTTCATCTCTCTTCAAAATGGCAGACAAAGAAGAAAAAAAGAATACCGCCTTCGAAATGTCACGTTACGATGCACGTTACAAGACAGTTGATTAACTTCTCTCTACTTCTCGAAAGACGTTCCACCAAACCAGTCGTATCTAAGTTTTCTTTAGAACGAATTAGAGAGTTTCACGAATCAGTGTTGATTAAACACCTCGTCAAAATGGAGAGCGGGAAATTACGCAGCGCGCGGAGGAAAAAATCGACGAGCACCATCGAAAACTTCGCGAAGCTTATTAACGTCCGACCTTGCTCATCCCATTTCACTTTCAATACGTGTCAGACACAGCGAAAGAAAGCGTCTCGATGATTTATATGGCTTCGAGCATGTAATTTCCATAACATGTAAACGAGTCTGTTCCAACGGAAATTAGAATGGCAGGCACCTTCTTCTCCTCCTTATTAGCATCCTCACCTCTTCGTTTCTTATACATACTCGTTAATACTTTTCAATCGTAGCTATTTCTCTCTCTCTCCCTCTCTCTGAGAGAATCATTATTTTCGGTCCAGGAGATCTGTTTACAGAGAGAAATATATTACAGTGAAGATTTTTTGAAACTTGGCCGATATATTTCGATTTCAGGAAACGGGGTCGAGACGAGAGTTCTGAACGTGAACAACGCCACGTTCACGTATCCTTCGTCACCCTTGCTGTCGCAGGGTGGAGACGTCTCCGGCGAGACTATGTGCTATTCCACCCCCGACGAGGACGACGCTCGCGTCGAGAACAACGAAACTGCATCGTTGTCGTCGCGACGCTGTCGCCACAGCGATGCCACCGCCTCCAACGTTTGCGAATGCGTCCATGTGAGGTATATACCGCTCGGAGCCACGGTCGAGATCATTCTCCTCGATCAAGGTAAACCAAAAACTTTCCACAATTTTCGTTCCATCTTCGCAAACGCGAGTTTTATTAATTATTTTATTAATTAAGTTTTATTAATTAATTAATGGAATAATAAATTTTACGGATTAATTATTCGTATCATAGTAAGGACTCGCCAATTTTTGTATCATATTAGATATTTTTTTCCAAAGCGTTCGCGATTGGATTTTATTACGTACGATACGATACGAAAGGTTTCCATCGTTTCGCACCGGTAGCATTTCTACGAGAAAAAAAAAAAAAANAAAAAAAAAAAAAAAAAAAAGAAAAAAAGAAAAAAACATCGTAGAAATAGTCGTAGAGATAGTCATCGATTAGCAGATAGATCGTCTTAGAATCGCCTTTCAGAGGAGATACCTCATATGTGTACCATAGTGGGGCTTCCCTCGTGATGAAACAAAACGAGAGATAATATTTCCAATAGAAATTCGTTCGTCGGCCGTTTGTTATCGACAGAGGACCATCCAGAGGATCAATTTCTTTCTCGTGCAATTTTGTTCGCGGACAAATTCCACGACTTTTTAAAGACTCGGATTTTTCTTCTTCTTCTTCTTCTTCTTTATCGAACGATATCGAGTAATTGTTTAATCACACAGAGAGAATTATAAATTCTCGTGGAGGGATAGGGGCGAAAATCCTTGGAAAATTCATTCCCTCGTTTCATTCCGATAAAGAAAGGACGCGTGTGATACGAAAGTAAATCGAAGGTGGTAAGAATCGTTTTGCAAGGATGAAAGATAGAGTAGGATTTATACTTGGCTGGAACGTAGTAATAGTAGTAGTAGTAGTAGCCTTGAGTTAGAAGAACCTTGATCTATATTCCTGTTGGCTGCTGGAAATATTGATCGCGAGTTCATCTCCGACAATTGCTTCTTCTCCGTTGTTCCGTCTCCTCTCAGAAATTGGAAAAGAAACGTTTCCAACGTTGTAACCAACATTTATACTCTCCTTTCGAAATTATAAAAGCAACACGAAACTCGATAAAATTTCTTGCAATTACAAATCTTCCCCCTCTTCCTCTCGTTCCCAAGAATCTTCGGATACCTCGAACCGTCTCTCAGAAAAGTTTCCTCAGAAATTCTCATTTCTAGATTTCACAGGCAGGTGTTGCAGGTGTCGAGGGTGGAACGCGACTTATTGTAATAATCAAGAAGACGCTCTTAAAACTTCTACCTCTTTAAAGGTAGAATCAAGTATGAATTTAATATCGTTCTTCTTCTTCTTTCCCCCCCTCCCCTTTCCAATGTTGGAGTGCAGGTGGCCTCGACGATCTGGTGTACCATCTGCACGGATACACGTTCTACGTGGTCGGGGCCCGAAAATTCGGACGCAGCGTGTCTCTGAAGGAATTGAAGAGCATGGACGACAAGGGGCAATTGTTCTCTAGGAATCTCGACTGCACGGTTGCTAAGGATACCGTGGTCGTGCCGAAATTTGGCGCGGTTGCTCTCAGATTTAAGGCGAACAACCCAGGTCAGTAAAACGAATCACAAGGGGGGGGAAAAAAAAAAAAATCTTGGAGATTATTAAATATATAATAACTTCGTTCCCGAGCAAATTCTTGAAAATTTTTAAAGTAAAAGTAAACGATTTCGTTCGTTCGAAGAAACGTTCGAAGGGTTGTTAAAGAGAGGAAATTTGAATTCAAAAGGTTATTGGATGTTGCGGGACGAGCACGCGGCCGAATGGACACGTGGATTGGACGTGATTCTCCAAGTTGGGGAAACGAGCGACATGGTGCCGGCTCCGGAAGATTTCCCCAAGTGTGGATCCTTCGTAGGGCCGGAATACTTTCTCATATAACGTTTCTCGTAAGGATCGCGTACACCGTGTACATAGTTGTAAATAAATACGGACAGACTGAAAGTGTGCACTCGAAAATATATTTCGTTTCTTTTTTTCTTCCTTTCTTTCTTTCTCATAATTAAGCTACTTAACTATGTTTTCATTATTGTATAAATATCTACGAGAATTTCTGTATCTATATATATATATATATAATAAATATTATCTTAAACTTTATTTCGAACCCTTTTATTCCTCTCCCCCTAATGTTTTCATTATTATATTTGTTAATTCGTGGACCGAGAAAATCTCTACGAACACCAATAATATCAGATCTTGGAGGATTCCAGTGGACGACGTCCGTCGAATATCCTTCGAATAGCTCGAAACTCGAGATCGAAAACAGTGGAGGGTCGACAACGCGGTTCATTTCGTTCGCGACTTCACGTTCCCGGCTCCTCGATATAATTCTAACCATCTTATCCGCTTTTAACTCGATGCAGTGGTGAAAACGAATCAATCGGGCTGGTGGCACAGCCTTGCACCGTGATGTCCTGTTTGACCGCCCTCGATTCGCAGATCGTCACCCTCCTGTCCGTCCCCCACGAGATCCTCTTCCTCCAGCACAAGGTGTTTCGAGAGTATGCCAAGATAGCGGTCGGCCCCGATTTCATCCACACCTTGCCTTCCCTCCTCATCCTCGTTTCGATGGCGATCGTCCTCTGGAGGAGTCCACCCTCCTACAACGGCCTCGCCCAAATAACGGGCCCCATCATGTACAAGAGCCTTCAGGTATCCTTCCCATTCTCCTTTCGAGAAATGAGGTCGTTCGGGCTAACCCTTCGGGGGTTATTCCACGTTTTTTCGTTTCAAGCTGTTGGTCAGCTGGGTCGTCGTTATCGCCATTCTCTGGTTCTGGCTCATGTGGCAGAGGCTCATCTATTGCTGCGTCTGGACCTCCTGGAGTTACGTGAGTTATATCTCTATCGCCGCTGATATTTTTAAACACAGTTGCGTTGATTTCGTTTTCAAACTGCCAAAGTGAGCGTCCTTTTATCCAGAAAAAAAAAGGAAAATATATCGTATAATTTTGACAACGTACATTTCTTAATCCCTGTGATGATAATCCAAATTTTACTCTTTTTCAATAAAAGTGTATCGATATATTTATTTATCGATAAATAACGACGAAATACGAATCCTTTCTGTTTTTCAAATATTATTTTTCCGAAAAGAAAAAGGAAAATTGATTATTCCATTATCGGATTATTCGGATGCACAGCAATCCGAATACAGAGACGTCTCTTATCAATGGTGGCAACAAGTTTGGTCCTCGTACTATCCACCCCCGCTAGAGCCACCCGTCATGTCGGCCGGTTTCATCAGCTGGCTGATCTCGATGTCGATCGCTGTCACGGTTCTAGGCTGCGCTGTTTCCGCCAATCGAGTGTGGAACTTCGCGACGGAATTGGCGATCGGCATAAAAGACGCTATAACAACGGTGAAATTTTACGCCAACTCTTACCTCAAAAGGTTCGTTTCTTTTTTTATTTTTCACGAACACACATTTATGGCTTCGAATTAAGAGAAATTCATATTCTCCTTTAAAAACCTGTTGCAGAAAAATAAGCCACATCCTACACCAATTATGGCTGCAAGGCGAGCCTATAGCGATAGCGAGCAAGAAGAGCAACGTGCCGAACGACAGCGAGGCAAGCTCCATATGCGACGAGTGCCGATCCGAGATCTCCACAGACGCGATAATCAACGATCATCGAAGGGAGATACTTCCCGTTTCGTATGGAACGAACTGGATGCCGAAGCCAAATTTCTCCGGGTACAAAGAGCCGATCAAGAAAGTGTCGATGAAGTCTCTCCACACGGTGGCCGTGGTGAACGATATCCAAGACTCGGACGATCTGTCGCCGCGCCACTCGAGATACAAGCGCGGTTGCCACACGGTCATACCCAACAACTCGAGCGACCAGTCGAGCGGATGTTGAGAGACGCGCCACTGACGTGATCGGACGACAACAGCGCTCTTTTTACCCAATAATAAATGGACACGTTACGTTAGTAGATTTTCCACTCGGGAAATTTTGAATCGGTCCAATTGTTTCCGGGGCGAGCATCGAACACCGATTTCTAAAAACTAGAAAATATTTTTTCAATAGCCGAGAGTAAGCGGGAGGACGTTGGGGAAAAAATTGAAAGGATCGAGTTCCTCGATCGTAATTGGCAAAAATATAAATAATCCCAAGGATGGATCGTTAGAGCGTTAGAGCAACGTGTCCGAGTCTTTTAAAAGTATTGCGTACTCTACTCTTATATTTTGTCCACGAGGAAACTTGGATGAAGGGGATCTCGAAGGATCTCGAGAGGAAATTAATCACTTAGGGATTGAGACGATCTCGATTCGGGACGAATTTGGGACGAGTTTATGCAAGAATCGAGAAATTGATTTTCGACGTTACGATTCACGCGTTACGAAATCGAGCGAATTCGCGGAGAGATTTTTCTTACGATCGATTCGAGGGATGGTAAGCGAGGAACAGGAAAGGGAGGAGATGAGTCGATGATTTTTCTTTCTTTCTTTCTTTGGTACGGATGGAAAAAAGGAAATATTATTCGCCCGAACGATGCATTGCTCTTCTATCTTTTTCTATCTGGGAAGGAAAATTGTAAAGTCTTTTGAACGCTGAAAGTGAATAATCGCTAACTATGGTGGTAGAGATGACGTAGAATAATAATAGATGTAAAAGATTATAGAAGCTATTGTACCGTATTGTACCGTAAAATATTGTATTGTACTATAAAAATTATACGTCTACGTATTTTTTTACGATCCGTGTTGTTTTTATTGCTTGATCGATACGTTGAAAGATTAATGAACAGCGATAAAGGAATTGATATATATATATATACGTGGAAAAAAGTCGTTGAGCAAGTTTTATATTCATTTTTGAATTTAAATTCAATCGATATTTGATTCGAATTTATTTTAAATTATTGATTTTTGAAATACTTAACCTTTAAATCTATCTTCAAATCCAATTTATTTCACATAAAATTATTTCTTCCAAAGAATCGAAAACACCTACGCTAAAAATTTCTCGAGCGATTGCTTTTTCATTTCGAATCTAAAAGACTACGCTCGATTTCAAGATCGTCTTTTCTAAGATTAAATGCAAACGATTCGCATCTTCCATCGCTTCGAGAAAAAGCTAAATTCATTAATTTTCAAAAAAACAACCGATTTCCAATTTTCAAAATTCCGTAAATCCATTATAAAAAAAAAAAAAAACAAGTGAAAAAATACAAAAATACTTGGAATCAAACGATATCCCGTTCGACAATCCTCCAACCCATTCTCTTTGATTATTCATCGAGTCCTGGAGAGAGACTTGGCGTTTCCAGGACAGCCTCGATCCCAAGTTTCTTGGAGGGGGTGTCCGCGCATGCGCCCAAACAGGGTAACACTCCCCGTCTTGCGGCCAAGCGTTATTCCGTAACGACATCCCTCGTAGGATAGGTCGACACGAGGCTGCCCAGTAGCATCATCTGATACGCAGTAAAATCAGTTTCCACCAGGAGAAGTGTGTCGTTCCTATAACGATACTCCTCCACTCGCGTTGCAAACAAGCTTCCCTCGAACGCAGCAGACAAAGGATTTATAATACGAAAAATCGTATTTCTCCATTCTTTCGCGATTTAAGCGGAAAATCTCAGAAACGAGGATTTTTTCCCGAGGTCCAGAACGAAGGTCGGGCGTGAACTCGATTGTTTTCCTCCTCCTTCGGAGGGCATCGTCCTCGTCCGTTCGAGATCCTCCAATCTTGGAAGGATGTAAATGGTAAGGCGAAAGGTGGAGGATTCGAAGAAGAAGCAGAAGAAGAAGAAGAAGACGAAAAAGAATAATATAAAAGCATCGAGGAAGAATTTACAAGACTCGAAGAATTCGGTTTTGAGGAAACTTGGATCGAGGCAAGGGTTGAGAAGATCTCGCGATATCTTGGAACCTTGTGTCGTTGTGCTTTTCGTGTCGATCCACGATTGGTGAGATGAATTAATTTTCTTCGATTTTTATTCTTTCATTCGCCGCGCGAATCTTTCTTCGTTTCAAAAAGAAATTCAGTTTCGTTTCACAGATTACATTTTTCAGTCTAATCGAAAACCTAATTGTAAATAAGAGTCGTCGTTTTCTTCATCCGTGATTCTACGTTAATATCTACGTTATTAAATCGATCGAAATTCACGATTTTTACGATCGACGGATATCATCGATCGTTGTTGATTGAACGGAGAAAAGAGAGGAACGAAAGGGAGAGGGGGAGAAAAATAAAATCTCGCGAATGAAACGATATTAGATTGAAATAATATACAAATCCACGTGCACGGTGTAACGTGACACGAAGCTTCTTATTGATTTTGCGTTCAGCATCCCGTAGCGCGCGCGCGAGTATTTGTATACAAGCGAAATCAGCCGCGCTCGCGCGCTCCACGCACACGTGAGACGAAATCACGAAATACAATACGCTTCAAAAGTATCCGTGTTTATCTTTCTATTCCAGAATCACGTACACTCCCGCTCAAAAATCGAATTAATCGCCAATCTCTCTCTCTCTCTCTCTCTCTCTTTCTCCCCTTTATCTATATATTCATATATATTCATATATATTTAAATCGATAAATTATCCTTTGAATATCGGCGATAGATTCATCGATTTCACGAGAGCTCCCCTTGATAATTTAATTTGCAAATTTTCAATTTGAAACGTCGAAATAGCGTATTTGTGAACGTTAGTGTACTCGATCGTGCAAACACGCATACAGAGGCAAACAGGTGCGTGCAAGCGGACTTTCTCTGTTGCGCGTTTGTGAATCGGGTAATAAGGGTAGCGGGACAAGCGTGGCGAACCCTTTCGAGGAAAGGGGGATTTTTTCATTGAGTTGGAGCCGGTTTTCGCGAGAGATCAGAGTATTAAAGACAACCCTCGCGGAAATATAAATAGAGGAGAGGGAGAAAGAGAGTGGAAGTTGTAAATCGAGAGATCGATCGAAAGTATATTTTTTTCGAATAAGAAATATTTTTTTCCAACCAATTTGAACACAAATTCTTCTTTACGGTGCGGTGATTTAGTAATTTTTTTCTTAATAATAGCAATAGTTGTAAAATTTTGTGTCGCTTTATCAACGGTGGTGAGAATAGAGTCGCAAATCTCGTTTAAAGGTAGACGAGAGCAAACGTTGCTTCGCCGGCCAAGTGAATATATACACGCGTGTACCGAGTTATATTTGTACGTTCAAGTATACTTTACAAGTTAATTAAGTGAAACATATCCCGTATATAAATTTCTAGAAGGGACTAATTAACGTTACTCGTTTATTTATTCGTTCTCGCCTGTTCAATTAAAATTTCCCCATCTTCCGGAAACAATTATTTTTCTTGGAAAATTTTCCTATCCTTGATCAAGAAAATAAACGTTCCCCGTTTAATTACAATTCTCGTTCCTCTAATCTAAAAAAGTTCTACCCGTAGTTTCCTCGAGTTAACGAAGTACAAATTAAGTTCACCGCTTGATCGTAATATTCGATCTATTGTCAACGATATATTTCTTAAAAAAGTTTCCTCGAGTTGACAAAATCGATCGTAATTATTCTCGTTCGATTCGTCCACATTTCTTTCGTCAACATTCTATTCACGTACGCTTACGCTCGTTGTTACAAAACGTTAAGTTCACCGCTTGATCGTAATATTCGATCTATTGTCAACGATATATTTCTTAAAAAATTTCTACTCGTACTTTCTTCGAGTTAACGAAATACAAATTAAGTTCACCGCTTGATCGTAATACTCGATCTATTGTCAACGATATATTTCTTAAATTTCTAAAAAATTTCTACTCGTACTTTCCTCGAGTTAACGAAATACAAAATTAAATTCACCGCTTGATCGTATTATTACTTATTCGACTTATTATCAACGATATATTTCTTAAAAAAGTTTCCTCGAGTTGACAAAAATCGATCGTAATTATTCTCGTTCGATTCGTCCACATTTCTTTCGTCAACATTCTATTCACGTACGCTTACGCTCGTTGTTACAAAACGTTAAGTTCACCGCTTGATCGTAATTCTCGATTTATCGTCAATTGTCGGCCGATCCGACAATCGGTAGTCCTCGTTCCCGCTCGCCATTGTGAATGGGGCGCGATTTAATCGGTATAAAGGTTAATGCGATACGCGTGATGGAGTTGCGGATTGAAAGGTTTATCGCGCGAAGCGACGTGGAAACGCAAAATCCGATGTATAAGCGATCACCTCTCTACGGGGTAATTAAATTATTTATGTATGCGCGCCACGATATAGAATATCTGGAATCGAGGTCGGCCAACGATAGAATCGAAGCTATTTAACAGGCTTGGTAAATTCTTTTTCCAAGATTTTCAATCAAGTTCGTTCGGCTTGAAACGAACGATGTTTTCTTCGGTGCATAATTTAATCCTCGATCGATCTGGTTAAATCTTTGTGTTAAATTTTTGACAAGCTTAATTGGAAAGATAAGCTCACGAAAGCGTTTACATTGCTTGAAATTAATTAATATTTTCATCCTTTTTCCTTAAGGTACACAAACGAACACTGGAAATTATTATAAACGCGAAATAATTAATTAATATCGTATAGGAATATTAAGATAACGGGTAGATTAAGAATCGCTCGTTTCAATTTGCACCACCACCCGATGAATCCATATTAGTAAAATGTACACAAGATGACGCAACAACCGCTACGTATTTCCTCGTCGCTCGCAACTTTTGATAACACGAATGGAACACGTTATTACACGAGATATTTCATCTCGATTTCTAAATATAAAATCAAATAAATAAATTTCACGGGAGGAAAGGCACGCGATCTTTAAAAAAGTAATCGATTCTTTCGTTGCCTGTGATTCACGATTCCTCGAAAATCAAGCGGTAAACAACGCGAGCCGCGAGTTTTATTTATTCAACGAAATAATAAATATCGATTGTGCATTAAGCGCAATAACGAGTGCAATATATTATTAGCTTCAATTTTCAACTCGACGTCTTTATTCGATCGGACGATAATCGACTTTCGTCCGTACGCGACAAACGGTGGGACGACAACTGGCGGTATATCGTCGTTCTCAATGTTTACATTCGTGTTCGGTGTCGAGGAAATTTGTAAACGTAGGAATTAACCTTTCCGTTTCTGTTTACAAAACGGAATAAACTCGAACGTTAAATACGATCGATTCTATACGACGAAATATAAATTTTTGATACACTTATGTATTCAAAATTCATCGTACGAGATATGAATTTTGAATGGAGTATAATTAAAAAAAGAAGGAGAAAATACACGAATAATACAAATGAATAAACGAGTAATTGTAAAAATTATGCATTCGAAAATAAATAAATAATTACTGTTAAAAATTAAAATAAAACGAAATAATTAATAAAAGCGAAAAATATCAAAAATTTACATGAAAAAAAATACTTGCTTAAAGAATTAAAAAGAAATGGAAAAATTCCAAAGCACCGAGTGCCATCCACGTCTCCACCCACGCGCTCCGTTTATACACCGAAATCTAAAATCGTCCCTAAGAAAAGATCTCTTCGTTAACTGTATTGTCATTAATCAACCACGATTACCCCTTGTAACTTGCATGTTCCATTATTGCGTGTCGTTCCAGGATGTCTCAGAGCGTGCAGCACGCATTTACATAACCTCCGATTATCGATCGATTATACGAATTCCGCGTGAATCACGGTTCAAGGTCACGGTTCGATCAATCAATCAATCAATCAATCCATCCATCCAAGCAATCGTCGCGTGATCTCCGCCACGAGATGAGCGAAAAAATTCAACGATTCAAGAATAGAAACGCTCGAATAAATAATTTATCATTCGAATCTCTGTTCGAAATTCTAACCAATTAATTTCTCTTTCGCTTTCTTTTTCCCTCTTTTCCCTCCTTTTCCCTTTCGATTGATATCCAATTCCGTGGATTCCAGCAACCATGGCGGAGAAGATGTACTATTGGGGAGAGCAAAAGGATCAAGTGGATCCGGATCAGACTTTCATAGAGTTCAAGGCCAAGTCGGTGGGCTCGAGCAGGGGGAGAGAAACGTCTCACGCCGCTGCTAAAACGACGGTGTCCACGTCGCAGGGCAGGGCGACGGAAGTCGGGAATCGTGAAGAGGACACGGAACGAGGGGGATGGGATAACAAGTTGGATTTCCTGTTCTCGTGTATCAGCGTCTCGGTGGGGCTTGGAAACGTGTGGAGGTTTCCGTATTTGTGCTACAAGAACGGGGGAGGTGAGTTTTTGGAATTGCTGCGTAGGTTGGAGAACGAGCCCGAGCGAGGTTAATTTGATTCCGTTGGCCAACGTTGGAGAAATGTTACGTTGTTTCCTCTATGCCATGTCGGATCAGAGTTTTCGATAAAATTCGTTTCCTTCTTTCTTTTCTGGGAATTTATGCTTAATTTACGGATGGACATCTTCTTTACACGTAATTTCGAAATTATCAATCAACGTTATTCCTCAATTCGATTCCAATTCGGTTGATCGTTCTATGAATTATTAAACGTGACGTGTAGCTTCTTTACGTGTAATTTTAAAATCGATATTGCTTTGTTGCTTCAATTTGATCTTGTTGGAGATGTTAAATTTTTTCAATTTTTTGAAATTAACGATTTTATTTATGAACGAAAGTATTTACGTATTCAAAATGAAATTTCACGAATTCCCCTCACGATGAATCGGCCCGTGATTTCGATTGGGATCGAAGGACAAAGGCCAATCGAGGTCGCATCGATCCTCCTCTGTGATTATCAAGGATACGTTGGATTTTCTAATGAATAATTCATCTTCGACTATGAATACTGTAGATAATTATACGTTCCCCCACGTATCCGTTATTAATGAAACCAAATTAATCGAAAAATTTCCACTCGAATCTAATTTTAAATTTTGCCACGTGTTTTTAAAATAATTCTCGAAAATATTCTACAACTTTATAAAATAATTACAGGCGCTTTCCTCATCACTTATGGAATTGCTATGGTGTTCTGTGGTATTCCAATATTCTTCCAAGAAGTGGCAATCGGCCAATACCTTGGAGCTGGAGGAATGACTTTGGTGGGGCAATTGTGTCCACTGTTGCAAGGTTATTCTCAAAATACTTCTTTCTTTCTTTCTTTCTTTTTACAATCTTCAAGAAATAAATCGAGCAAATAAAATTAAACGTTTTGATTTTAGGGGTTGGATACGCCACTATGACGATCGTATTCTTCCTAGACGTTTATTACTGCATCATCATCGCCTGGACGCTCTTCTATCTTATAACCACTTTCGTCAATATACCTAACGTACCTTGGAAGGGTTGCGGTTGGTTGATCAATCGATCGGAAATAAAATTTCTAGTCTCGTCAACTCCATACACTCTAACAACGGTGTGGTAATTTTTTTTTTTTTTTTTCGTAGGAAATTGGTGGAATACCGAGGATTGTTTCGACGGCCTCGAAAAGATCGAGGAAACGACAGATCTTGTTAATTCGAATAACACGAATTCCACGTACAACAACAACAACGTCACTCTTCTACTTCATCACGCTACACCGGTCGAGGAATATTGGGAGTAAGCAAGTTTCACAAGTTTTTTTTCCCCTTCTTCTTCTTCTTCTTCTTCTTTTTTTTTCTCTCTCTCTCTTGGAAAATTCACGACTCGAATATCGCCCTTCTAATTTTTTTTACCATCGAAAATTGTTCGAAAATTTTTAACATTTAAACATTTTAGGTGAGACTCAGAATTGAAAATTTTGAGAAAGATCCATTTGAGGATTTATATTAACGAGTTTTTCTCTCTCTCTCTCTCGACGACTTTTAGACGACGACTTCTTGGGATCACTTCCGGTATAGAGAGCATCGGAGGGATCCAATGGGAACTGTTAGGCTGTCTGGTCATCGGCTGGCTCCTCGTATATTTCATCATCCGGCGTGGTCTCCACCAGAGTGGTAAAATTATTTGGTTTTCAGCTTTGTTCCCCTACGTGGTGCTTTTTATTCTTTTGGGAAGAGCGGTGACGTTGGAGGGCAGCTACAACGGCTTGCTGTACTACGTCACGCCGAGGTGGGAGGAATTAATGTCGCCTGGCCCATGGATCGACGGGGCCACGCAAATTTTCTTCGCCTACAGCATCGGGACTGGAGCTCTGCCCGCTCTCGGATCGTACAACAAGTTCCATCACAATTGCTACAAGTGAGATCATTCCCTCGAGCTAATTAATTGTCCTCTCAACCGATTATTTTATACTACGATACGCAATTCTGTTTCTTTATCGAAGTGTAATCTTTTCTCTCTCTCTCTGTGTGTGTATTATTCATAGAAAATATTGTCGATTTCATATCGACGATAATATACGAATAAATCATTTTTCTTTAATTTTGTCAGAGAACACATTGACTCGTTCTACTTAATACAACAACTTTTCGATCGAGCTGATGAATGGCTCGTCGCTTTTCCCTTCGTTTTTACCTTCGTTCCAAGTTTGAAAAAAAGAGAGAGAGAGAGAGAGAGAAATTCGATAAAATATTGTTTCAGAGACGCATTGATCACGTGTGTGGTGAACACGTTAACCTGTTTACTGGCCGGTTGCGTCACTTTCTCCATCCTGGGCCACATCGCGTTGGAGCAGGGAACAGAAGTGGCCAAGGTGGTTAAAAGCGGTCCAGGGCTCGTGTTTCTCACTTATCCAGAGGTGGTCCTCAAGCTTCCCGGCGCCTCCATGTGGGCCATCATCTTCTTCGTGATGCTCCTCGTGAGAAAGCTTCAACTTCACTCCTTCTCCTTCCGTCAATTCTTTCTTCACCTGTGTCATGATCCTTAGATATATATATATTTCCATATTCATTGTCTTGATAATGAATGATTATCCTTATGCTTTTCTTTTGTTATAACAGATACTCGGGATCGACAGTGAATTCTGTATCGTGGAATCGTTCATCACAGGGGTTGTCGACAATTGGCCCGACCTCTTACGCCCCCACAGGAACAAGTTCACCATTGCCATTTGCTGTCTCATGTTCCTTTTGGGCCTTCCCATGGTGACCAACGTTAGTGTCGATTACATAAATATTCAATGTCAACGAGATTAATAAATATTCATTTCGAAACGAGAAATTAATTAAATAATCGTTTCAGGGTGGCGTTTACATATTCCAATTAATGGATTTCTACTCGGCGAGCGGAATGTCGATTCTCTGGGTCTGTTTCTTCCAAACGATAGCTATATCTTGGATATTTGGGGCGAAAAAATTCTGCGATTGCATACATCAGATGATGGGTATACGATTGAATAACTTTTGGTATATTTGCTGGGTCGTGTTTGCACCAGTGATCATGGCTGTGAGTGATCATCGGTTTCGTCGAATATAATAATATCTATTCGTCCAATTCCTTGAAAAGAAAGAAAGAAAGGGGACAAATCTTCTTATCTCTTTCAGTTCATCTTCGTGTTCCAATGCGTTCAATACAAACCTCTGAGATATGGAAACAATTACGAATATCCGACGTGGGCGGAGGTGATAGGCGTTTGTCTCAGTTTGTCATCCATGATCTGGATCCCTGTTTACGCTGTATATTACGTGGTAGTTACACCAGGATCCATAAAAGAGGTGAAATTTTTATTTCTTATCAATTTCGTCGTATATATTTCATATCGACCGATCAATTTTCTTCGAGTTTTATGTATCTAAAAATTTTCAACTTTCGATTAAGGCGTTTAAATCGATCGATCCAATATTTCAGAATATTATGAAAGGTTTGAAACCGAACATAAAATCACATGCAAAATTACCGAAGGGGGAGAAATCGGCAGTGATACCAATGTCGGAGAGCAGCGCGGGATTGATCACGAAGAACAACAGTTTCCTAAGTCAAACATGATCGCCGTAAAAATGGCTTCCTTATTTCTTATTAGGTTGTAATTAAGTTGTAAGTGTAGTATTTTTAACGAGATTTATTAATCGAATTTATCGGACAGAGAATTGCTCGATTCATTTGGAATTCGTCGAATTCGTTTCTTCGGTTTTCGATAAAATTAAAATTCAAAGAAAATCGAATCAATTTCTTCGAAGCAAAAAAATATATTTCAACCGTAAAACTTCTTTTTGATCGACGATACTTTCGAGATGAATCAAAATAAAGAAGAAGAAAAAAATAACAAGTTGTATGAATATATAACGAAATTCGAGCAATTACTGTGCGAATAAAAAAATACCAAATACTCGTTCCTTCTATATTAAACGATGGTACCACGTGAAAAAAGAGTAAGTATTATCTATTTATCGTTAGAGAAAGATGACGAAGAAGATAATAGAAGACACCGCTAGTTCTCGGGTAACTAAACAAAAGATACAAGTGACTCGAAGAGGTCTATATTTTTTATCGCGATGTTTCTCTATGCACGAAAAAGATACGACCCAATTTTTACCGATATTTTTATTATTCGACCAATGCCTACTTTTCGAGAAGCAGAAATTTTTTAAAAAAAAAACGATGTACGTAGTTAGTTCGATTACTAGCCGGTTAAATTACAGATAATGAGAATCGTGCCTCGACATTGACACTCTTGTTAAAAAATTTTTCTTCCTTTTTTCTTCCTTTTAAAACGAATAATATTACTTTTTAAATATTATTAATTAAGCTAAGTTACATGTAGTCTTATCATAACATAGTTGACATTTAATAATTTTTAATATTACGTATTAAAAAGAAAGAAAGGAAATAAGTTTTGTATATAATCAGTTGGAAAAATTTTTTCGCGTCAAATCGAGTCGAGGATAGAAGTGTGCCTCGCAGAAATTCGTTGGTACCACAATTACCGGGAATCATTGCGTAAGAAACGAATAAACGTTCAGCAGGATTAGACTAAAAATTCATTTTTAGAAAATTTATTAACAATTCGTTCGTTGGACGAATTTAAAACGGAAAAAAAAAAAAAAAAAGATCAAATAAATGATTCCTTTCGATCGCAGTGATTCCACGCGAAGGATCGTAAATCCAGGAATATAGATGTAAGATAAGAATATAATATAAACATTAGTTTTATGAAAGAATTATATCTAGTGAATATATCTACGATTTTAAGATTGCTAAAAAGGATTATTAATTCAAAATATTGTTCGACGTACTGTTATTTGCATTAATAATATTATTAATTCAAACGACCAATTAATAGTATATTTAAAGAGAAAAAAATATTGTTGGAACGAGAAGTGACGCTCGACAAAACTCGATTTATAAATAATTGATGGACACGAGCAATAAATTTGGAAACGGGCCTAAGTAATAATTCTGTCTGTGTTTAAACCATCGTCTTCTGACCATGCTCTGTTTAACACATTCAATGCCGGCAATGAAAAAATATATGTCGTAAAAAGAATTTGTTTTAAGCTGTGGTAGATCATCATGTGCATCTACGTACCGTAAAAAATATCCTATTATATAGTGGATGACGTGGATGTACGCGTCACAAAGAATATCCTATCCTGTGGCAGATCATGTAAGGGTACGCGTCACGAAAAATATTTTACGTGGCAGATGACGCGAACATACTCGTCACAAAGAATGTCCTATCCTGTAGCAGACGATATAAGGATGCGCGTCACGAAAAATATTTTATGTGGCGGATGACGCGAACATACTCGTCACAAAGAATGTCCTATCCTGTAGCAGACGATATAAGGGTACGCGTCACAAAGAATGTTCTATCCTGTAGCAGACGATGTAAGAGTACGCGTCACAAAGAATGTTCTATCCTGTGGCAGACAATGTAAGGGTACGCGTCATAAAAAATATTTTACGTGACAGATGACGCGAATGTACGCGTCACAAAGAATGTTCTATCCTGTGGCAGATAATGTAAGAATGCGCGTCACAAAAAATATTTTACGTGGCGGATGACGCAAATGTCACAAAGAATGTCTTATCCTGTAGCAAACGATGTAAGAGTACGCGTCACAAAAAATATTTTACGTGGCAGATGACGCGAATGTACGCGTCACAAAGAATGTTCTATCCTGTGGCAGACGATGTAAGAGTACGCGTCACAAAGAATGTTCTATCTTGTAGCAGACGATGTAAGAGTACGCGTCACAAAGAATGTTCTATCCTGTGGCAGACGATGTAAGGGTACGCGTCACAAAAAATATTTTATGTGGCGGATGACGCGAATATCACAAAAAATGTCTTACCCTGTAGCAGATAATGTAAGAATGCGCGTCACAAAAAATATTTTACGTGGCGGATGATGCGAATGTACGCGTCACAAAAAATGTTCTATCCTGTGGTAGACGATGTAAGGATGCGCTATAAAGTTTTTCGAGAAATATGAAAGATAAAAAAGAGTTTTCTGGTTTTCTTTTCGTTCCCTCGTTGCTTTTGTATTTTTTTTCACAATTATTGTTTTTATATATTCGAATATTTGATTTTTGATGGCGCATTGAATGCGTTAAACGAGTATTTCGACAATTGTTGATGTTGCGCGTACATTTACACGTCTATTTGTTTTCATTCAATATCAACGCATTGTTATACCCGCGAATAATTTTTTAATCGAGCTAAGCGTAATATTTATCACGATGGACGTTTCTTTCTTATCGTTTAGTTTCGAACAAGGAGAAGATCGAATGCGCGAATTTTATTGTAATTTTTATTGTAATGGCACGGAAGAGTTGAAGAACGAAACGAGATTCGAAGATGTATGATGCGTTTATTATGGTTGTACGAAAATATATAAGAGGATATTCTTTCGATGGCCTTTCGACTTGTGATCCCAAAAATATCGAACGAGAAAGATCTCATCGCCATCCTTAAACGCGATCGACTTTCTTTACTTTAATTTTAAATTTCCGTATATTTTATCTTTCTCTACTTTTCACGCTGCGATTTAAACTTTTTTTTTATTTTACAAAATTTTGATATCAATCCTGTTAATAATCCTTGTATTAAAAAATATATATACATATACGTACTTCTTCTTTTCAAAAGTATCACCAATGATACGAAAAATCATTCCAAATGGAATTGCAAGGATTAATCCCTTAACGTTCAACAAATTTTTATCCATACATACTTTTCGTATTCTATTTCAACGTAATACAATTGTTCGATTTTTAAAAATCCACAAAAAGGAGTGAAATAAATAAACGATCAAACGACAGATTTGTCACAGGCATCAAAGGATATAATAAACATCGTTCAAACCGATGATAAATTCGATCAATTCGAAGGATGATAAATAGAAACAGGAACGGAACGAAAGTGACAGAGTGATATGATCGACCGATTGAATTCCGTTTCTGGTCCTCGCGCGTCTAATCTCGTCGTTTAATCAATTGGACACTCACCGTTGATTCATGGATTGAGAATAGTTTTCACGTTACATTAATATACATTAATCAATATACTTTTCTCCTCTTTGCAGATCGATGGTGAACGCGCTCGAAACCGAAACCGCGTTGCTTCATCAACCCTTTCGTTCGAAACACTGTCGAGGATTAATTTGAAAGCATAGCGATCAACGCAGTGTTCGATGAGATTGATTCTTTTGACATTTGTTCTTAATAAAATACATAAATAAATGCTATAAATAAATGTCTAATTTTATCATTTAACAGGGGAGGAACGATGGAATAATTTGTAACGGATCTGGTAATCCGATATCCGCAAATTTAAAAGCTATTAAACATAAGATAAAACGGGGAAGATATTTCAAAAACCTTAAAAACTAGATTAATCTTTCAATCGTGAAAATATAATTTCGTAATCGCATTTGCGTACTATTTCTCGCATAATACTGAAATTTCGTGCTTCAACGTTTAGCATTCTATCGCAATATAAATACATATTTTGCGTGATAATTTCTCTCTACTGCGATTCCATCGTCACAATATTCCGTTTTATTATAAAAGAGTCTGCCATATAAGTCTGTCAAAGCGACAAATTCTCTCTCGCTGAAAATCTTGGCGCGAAATACGCGGACGAGAGAACGTTATGCATCAAACGACGTATTACCTGGACGCTAACGCAATGCAAGCGTTGACATTGGTTGGTGGAAGGACCGATACGTCATTTAGCGTGGGGCGCACGCTTTGTCCCAGCGTCTGTGAAAAATTCAAGGCGAGGTTGGACGTAGGGGAAGGGAAGGGAAAGGAATTCGTGGAATATATTCGTGAGAATGGAAGAATGGAAACCGGCACGAACGAGGCACGCGTTGATTGTGCCGGTGAATAGGGCCTTTGTCACGGGACGAATTCAATCGGAAATTCTGTACAGGGTTTCCGGTTTCCATCTCTTTTCCGCGCGCTTCACCCCCCGCGTCTATTGTCGGCCCTTCAAAGTCCGAATCTCCGATTTTCTCGAGATTTTTCCGCGAGCTCGAAAATGAAAGGTCCGCTTTCGAATTTATTTCAACGCTCCTCTTTGTCGATGGAGACCGTTCGCTTTCCGCCTATTTTCGGGAACTTTGCTCTCGTCGAGCGTTTTTTTTTTTTTTTTTTACTCTCTTTATTTCTCCTTTTTCTTTCTTTTCGAACGCGTTTTGTCCACGTTTCAGACAGAAAAATCGCGCGGAGATGTAGATTTCGAGTGTTTGCAGGGGTTTCAATTTTTAATTATACGTACGTTTAATTCGATTAATATCGTAGGAGGATCGTAATAACTTTCGTTCTTTGCTTTTGTCATTTTGCTCGAGAATATCGATCGATTTCACCGAAAATTCTAAATTTCAAATTTTTGCGAAAGAAGTTGTGTACCACGGAAAAGAAGAAAGGAATTTGAACAACATCGAAAACAACAAGTTTAGTCGAAAATACGTCATGCGACACGAATTTTGTTATATCCTTTTTCCGATTATTCGATTATTTCTTTCGAAGTAAAACTCCAATATTTCCCAAAATCTTTTTCCAAAATCTGGCCCTACGTAAACCTTTCTTCTTCAAAAATTGGTATAAAAAAAAAACTTGCGAGATCGAACAATCCGATCTTTAAACTTTCGAAATCGTACAATTTTTTGATTAAAATTTCCCGAATCTTCTTCAAAAATTCGCGATAAATCGTTGAAAATCGTGGCGGAAGAATTTAATCACGTTTCACGATGCTGGGCAAAGGCAAACGATAAGGTTACTCGATCGAGAAACTATGTTTGACAAACGTCTGAAACAATGGACGGAGAACTCTCTCTCATTGCGCATCGCGATGAATTAATCCATACTTGGCAGACCATTTAGGTTCGCTGTCCGATGCAATTTCCGACGCTTGCATTCATGACGAACGAACACAACTCCCAGAAAGAAACTTTCAACTACATATAGGGATAGAACATCGTACGAAAATCGCAAACGCGATTCTTTCTTCCCTTGTCACTTTCCATTCTCGAAAACTCGAGTGGACGAGAATCTTATTTTTACGCGTACGATCGCGAAAATTAGAATATATTTCCCCCTTGATTCGAATCGAAATTCACATGAGCATGAATTATTCTACGTATTACGTAATTATCATTTGATCGAATCATCGTTAATGCAAAGTAATAAATTTTAATGCTTCATTAATGGAGCCACTTTTATTCGATTCCAACAATCCCCCTAGTTATTTATTTACGCATTTGATCGGTGTTATTTAATTTTTCAATGCCATTTATCCGAATGAAAAGCGGATATTTGTTTTAAACGAAACAGTGTTTCCCGCCGTTTCAAGATATAAATATTAACAAGACGAGGAATTTTAAATGGGTTGGAATTTTAAAATGATTACCGTGTGCGAATGAAACGTGAGCTCGAAAAAAAATTTTTTTTCCATTTAATCTATATATTTTTCCTTCCTTAATTTATCGTTCAGTCATGGTAATTTACCAATCACGCGAATTCGCGCGATTACCAATCGATTTACCAAGTTTTACGCAATTTTCTTTTTTCCTTCTTCTTTCTTTTTTTTTTCCACTCACGCAGCTTTCTCACCAATTAACAATAATTTTAAACCGGTCGTTACTAAACTTTTCCCTTTCTCCCTCCCCCCCCCCCTCCCCTCCTCGCATCATCCGAGCAAAGATTTTCTTCTTCCAGCTAGTTATAATTCTCTTCCACTTCCAAATCTTCCGATTCTTCGATTCTTCCTCCAACTTTCAAACTTCAAACTTTCGAAACTCTTTTACTTCGTTATTCCACCACTTTCATCAACCCTAACGAATTGATTAAAAATCTTGCTATATATATATGTACTATATATCTGTTGATCTTTCAATCGCACATATTAAAATCAAAATTTCGATCTACATCGAATATAAAAAAGATAGAAAAATGATAGTTTCGATATCGTTTGGAGGAAATGATTAACGGTTTCGAATATGGGACGGCGTTCTTGAGATTATCATTCGTCTCGGGTATAAGAAGGAATAATATGGACGGACAGTCACGCGAGCTTTCCCGATCAATGAGCCAAATCACCTGTGGATACGCCGTGTATCGAAAGCAATTCTCTAGAAGTGAAATAGCCGCGACACGTGGCTAAGATTAATTCGAATTACCTCGTATAATTTTTAACACGTTCGACAGTGAACCGAAAATCTTTCATCATCTCTTGGATCGAGTAGGATCCACGACGCTCGTTATAATTTCATTTCTTTAATTTTAATCGAGCTTGTAAAATTGAAATTGAATCCAAATTCGTTCCTTTCGATCGATCCTCTTGGATCAAAAATAGTAGCTCGGTTTTTTTTTCTCAAGTTGGCACCAATCAAGGAGGGTGGATTTCGTGCGCCATTCGTCAAACATGAGATTCTCGATTACTTTTTTAAAATTTCATATTTATATACATTCTTTGTTTTACGTTATTTTCGAACGAATCTGAAATAATCGAGGTTGTATTCCAATATGATAATTTCAATGAAAACGTAATTAAACGTCCTTTTAGTTTCTAAATTTTTAATTTTTATTTTTAATACTTTCGTGCACAAGAGAGCATGCATACGCACGAAAGCCTGCGGGCTAAGAGATCTGTTAAGTTCAGAACAGACGAATCCAATTATCGCGGAATCACGAATAATTTATTCCGCTACGCGTGTGTGTGTGTATATATATGTATCAAGAGAAGCATTGCTCGCCATCAATCGTACTCTATCGTTATTGATTTATCATTGTTCACGAATACATTTAATAATTTGATAAAATCAATAGATACGAATTAATTGTTCCTCGTACCCTTATCCAAAGAAAAATTAAACTCATCGACTCGAGTCGTTTCTTACTTCTTAATATCATATCGGAATAATAATTTTGACCGGAAATGTCATCGGTGAGAAATTTTTCACCCTGTGAAAGAGACAGGTTAAAGCACTTTTACGAAACTTTGAAAAATCTCCCACGCAATGACGAAAGTTTGTAGAAAAAGTTGGGACAAATCTATCCTTGGCAGGATCCAAAGAAACACGGATAGAGTCCTCGAAAACTCTATTCTCACTTTTGCATTTCAATTATATATTCATAAGAGTTAAGAGTTACTTTTCGTCCAAACTTTATATATATTTTCGAGATATAATAAATAAAAAGAACGATAAATTTTACCAGGAATGAAAAATTGAATAACGATGTTTGGATATTTTCAAGAGGATTAAGAAGACGTTTCTATATTGAATTTTCTTCTCGAAAGTGAAACCCTTAATTCGTACACACGAGAGTGTACGATATTTCTAAGTTTAAAACGGATGAGAGAGAGAGAGAGAAGAAAAAAAGAACGGTTGTCTGATTTTTCACCACCTGGTCGACCATAACGTGGTAAAAAAATATAGAGTTACTTCGCCACGAATTTAAATTAGATATCTCTGCTGGGGTTTTTGGAATTTGATTTACGATTCGATGTCTTATTTCTCCCTTCAATCGTTCGTTTATCGCCATTAT